ATTCTAGAGCCAAGAAAGCACTATTTTCTCAAAGACTAGAGAAATTTGTTTTTCTTGGAATTAGGAAAGCGTTTAATTCTCGAACCTTTGAAACTTCTTCCTCTCGAAACGAGGAAAGCCCACAACCCCTTTTCGCAAGACACAGAAAAGATCCATTTCTGGAACCATTTTCCTGAATCCATCCGAATAAAATATGTTACGCGAACTCTGTTGATTCCACACTCGTGTCGCCTAATTCGATTTACGTTTCAGCCGGGAAAATCGTTAACGAGAAGTCGCGCGACGACGAGCGTACATTTTTCATACTTTCCGCGAGCTGGAGGAACTTCGAAAGCTGTTCGAGCGAAAATTAAATGCTAACACAAGTTTCGGAAACTTGGTTATTAACTGGCAAGGGGAAGTTTCGCAGCTGACTGCTGCACCAGGAAGTCGGGGGAACTAAGTAAAAACTTCCGTCGAGATTTACGAGTATGACTGATGGAGTCTTTAGGTCGTTGATGCATTATGCTATTCACTTCGAAGCAACTATACGCCTCCAGTTAAGAAACGAGCCAGATATATCTGTATACTGCACGAATCCGATACAATTAGCATACACATATAATTATACACATTCATAAACACATATTATTTATGTTTGGGTTGTCCGGAAAGTTCATGCCTATTTTTAATTTAAGAAAAACTCGATATTTGAATTTTGATGTATATTTATTGAATGATACATGTACCATTTTGTTCCACAACCTGTCCACCTGTTAAGAAATGTACACATTTTATTTGTTTTCAGCCATTCCGATATATTCAGACCTGTACCGCCTACTAAAAATCATCATGGACTTCCAGACAGCCCACTATAAATATTTATACGTATTTATATTTACGACACTTATTTATAATAACTTAGTTATAATACCTACGCGTGCTATATGCAAGAATCTAAAATAAAAATCCGAGTTAGAAGAACTCGATATTCGAATCTAATACGAAAAATCTGCTTCCGATATCTAAATTGAGGAATCTAATATAAAGCTGTAAATTTCAAAAAGAAAATTGCCATAAAATAGAATAAAATGCTCGACCACAGAACGAGAAGACACGCGTAGATCATTTCTACCAAGAGAAGCATTAACCGATACCATTTCGATGGGAAAAAAACGAAGTTTGTTCGCGTGACGTCGATTAGATAATGAATGACGACTGGCCACCGCAGAAGGATTTCTGTGGACCTGTAGCTGCGGTTTTACGGGTCCGAATCCTTCGAGCCGTGTGTCTGCCATATGACAATAACATCTGTGGCCCATGCCGAGGTACGCGTACCTGCGCCACGTTTACCACGGACCATCTTGCAAGCCCGCCTATACGAAACGAAATCGAAAGGTGTTCCTCGGCCAGAGGACGCGAGAAATGCAGCTGGCAAAATATTTGTACGGAAGGAAACGGTCTCAGTTCACGAAAACCATCCAGATCTATGGCTAATTAATCGTTGTTTGCCAGAAAAATTGTCGAACTTCGCGGCAACTCTCCTGAACAAACATAAATAAAAATGCTAGCCCATCCGAATCCCCGTTTTCATATATATATTATTTGTTTTTTCAATTATTCCTAATATTTCTAATATTTTAAATTCGAAGTATTTTCTATGGCTTGCGCGCTTGCGATATGTTTGTGTTTGTTTATTCGGTTATACACAATGGGATAATTAAACGGACGTGCCCCTGGATCCTTCAATTGGCGAGACAAAGTTAGGAAAATAATAGAGGACATTGTATATACCGTTTTCTGTATGACCAAACTATGATTTTTTATAATTATTATTGTAATGTTTGAATATTTCCTCGATTGCACCTTTGCGAACCATTACGAAGTACGCGAGCCTTTTTTACCGACAAAGATACAAGTGTTTCACCGTTATAGATAGCGCTCATGTACGGCCACTCGCGTGAACGCGCGTCGGTAAGAAAGAAAAGTATAGTCCTGATGGTAGAAAGTAGAAACTAAATATTAAATTTCAAACGTTTCACGACGTCATTACTATCGATAGCAATAAATCATTTTTGAAGCAATTTTCTGAATCCTTTCCACCTTCGTTCCAAGTTTTAATAAGCGAATATCACACTCTGCCACTCTTTTGTCATTCGAGTTCTACAGTCATTGCAATCAATACTACTACTAGGAGGAAACCGTTCGTATTCATCTTCTTTGATCCGATATCTCTACTCAATTGCGTAAAAACTTCGATAATTCGACTAGAGAAATTTCAAGAAATTAAAAAAGTGATAAAGATTCCTTGGCGTGATTCCAACGACGTAGAAGTTCGAGATTAGAGTCATATTGAAAAATCTCGAACCAAGGCTACCAACGAGAAAACACGAGTTATCAACATAGTAAAATTCAGAAACGATACCTCGATCACCGTTTACCCTGTGCACTCCACTGGCGTCACTGCAGCGACGTAATATGAATCACAATTCAACTCGAGTTTTATTCGTGGTAACACAAATCGAAGTAATGAAATAGACGAGTAGAATAAGTTTCAAATACGTTTTAAAACAAACGGCGAGTTAGAGGAAACTGCGTAAAAATCGTGGATTTTGTTGGCTTCGAGAAATATGGAAAATTATATTTCAATTTCAATAGTGCAGGCCCTCTTCAGGAGAATCAGACCAGGAACGACGCTAGGGTTACCAGCGCCCTCTTACGACTACTAATTCAGACGCCCCCTTCACCGCACGTTACAAATTAAAAATGAATGTAACCTAAGAATTTTAATTGGAAATAATATGGCTTGAATCAGATATGATATCGTCAGACGACAGAATTATTGCAAAAATTATTGTCAAATCGTAGGCACGATACTCGTAAGAATTTATTCTCCCTGCTTCGAAGCTGCAAAGCACGTTAATAATTTTATCATTCTCTACTTTATCAGTTTGCATGGAAAGCTACGCTCACGATATGACCTCTTCTAACATTTCCTTTTCTCTTATAAGTACACACTCGTGGACGCAAATTTATACATGAAATTATATTATTACCGATAAGCACCATTGTTAAGGATTGTAAAGGAGGCGGGTAACCCTTGAAATCGTTCGACAGAATTTCCATCCAGAAACTAAGAAAGAACAACCAACTCCTGACATTTCGTAATCATTTTTTTCTCGTCACGGCATCTGACAAGATGCGCCCCGACGCAGTGCGTCGTTCCCTTTCCCGGTAAAGCCGGTCCTGGCCCAATATATTACAAAATAAATTGAAGCTTAGCCGCAAACTTAACCAACAAAGAATCACGTCCATTCTATCGCTCTGTATATCGAGCAAAAAAAAACCACAACGCAACGTCCACCCAACCGACTAAACTTCTCATCGTAAGCATCCTACAAACTTTCATCGGGGAAAAGTAACACTTTCGATATTTCCAGAGGGAACGGGAGGGAGAGAAAAAAAAATCGCCTTCAAGTCCGCTAGCCACCGATAGAACGAAAAAATTGTCGATCGCGGCGAGGGTTAACGTCGACGATACCTCTGTCGACATAACCTCAAAACCGACTCGGTTCGACGTAGCGCCGCGGCTGAGAGTCCAGCGTTCGTTTCGTCGAAAAACACACGGTCAACGTCGCGAAAGGTTCACGTCCCAGACGACGCAATGCCACGAAAAAAGTCAACGAAACTTGCGCAGGAGCTGGCAGGAAAGTCAAGAGCCCTCGCAGTTGACACATGTCAAGCGTGCAGTGCGACTCGAAAAAACGTCGGGGCGGCCGACAACACGCAATTACGAACACGGATGTAAAGAAAATCGACACACTCACCGCTGTGCCCGGTGTTGCTCGACGACTGGCCCATTATTCTCAACCCGAGGCGTTGGCAGGCACGGGATAAAACACTCGGTGGTCGCGGCGGGCTCACGTGAAAAACCGGACGCATGAGTGCGCGAAAGACCGACACATTTTTCCAAAAATACTATCACATCGTGTACCCGCAGTGTCGCTACGACAGAGACGGACGGCCGCTCCGAGGCGAAGAGGTGATTGGCCCGCGAGCCGATGCGCATGCGCGACCCGCGGAATTTTGAATACGCCTCGACGTGCTCCGCGTTCCCACGGATCCGATTATTTCCCAGACGTAGTCCAACGGCTTCTGCTCCGAGCCACCTCGTTTCTGACAAGGTAACGCGGTGAATATTAAACGATACTAGTTGTATAGATGCTGCTTTTTATGGGACGTACCCGTAAACGCTCGCGCCATGCATGCGTATTGTACAGTAGAACGAAATTATTAACGAAATTATTTTACCGACTGGTACGGTTCGGACGTGCGATTAACATTAAACCTGCCGACGTTCGTTTGCAATTATTTCTACCGCGATGGAACGAGTAACTAGTGAAATCCGTGAACGTTATTATTTAACACGGCACACGTTATCGTCGTTCGACCTGGATCGAGGATAATGTTAAATACCTAAATATCAAAAATAATATATAAAAAAACGCGGGAAGAAAGTGTTATCTAAAAATTTCGTGCAGTGATTGTATTTAGTTTTTCTTTTTATTCACGGAACGTTTAATGAAGATATTGAACTATGCTTGATAATTGATAATACTTGAACTATGCATTGATCAAATCTTAAGTTAAATTGAGCGTAGCAAGGGGCACGGTCCCGAGGGACGATTAATAATAATGCAACGATCACTGAGGATATACATGGTGACCATAGAATTCGCATGTACCTTAGCAGGAAAATTACGCAAGAATTGAACCATAAAACGATAACAATTGAATAACGCCTAACTTTTGTTGTTGCATTAAAATATTGGATTGTCCGGGAAGTTCATGCCTATTTTTAAGAAAAATTCAAAGGCATATTTGAATTTTCATGTATATTTTTGATGTATATTGAATTATATATGTACCATTTGGTTCCACAACTTTTCCACCTGTTAAGGAATGTACATATATTATTTGTTTTCAGCCATTCCGATATATTCAGACCTGTACCGCCTACTAAAAGTCGGCATGGACTTTCCAGACAGCCCAATAGATAGTTTCTCGATGGACGATTTTTGATATTTCTTTCTAACCAGACTAGCCTACTTCAAAGAGACTCAAGGACACGTACTCTATCAAAAATACGAATTCCCTTACGTATATTAACAAAATTTGTCTTACTTGGCTAAGGAACTCGACCATCGCTCAACTTACGCACCGAAAAGAATAACCAGCAGTCTACCTCCTCGCTCGATCAACGACAGCACGCAAAAGTACCCGCCGACACCAGCCCCGTTCCCCAAGCACGAGACCATCGCCTCGAAATTAGAAGACACTGCTTGATAGAAACAGCCAAGCGTTTGCTAAACACGCCTCACGCAACTACGCACCTAACGATTCGCAACTGCGCCCACAATTCGCGTGCACAGGGCTAGCATTTTATAGCTCTTGGGGAGAATTAGAGCGCTCTAATGGAGTCACGCGATACCAGCCTGTTCTAGTTCCAGGGTTTCACCCTGGCCAGAGTCCCTCCGAACCTACCAGAGGACTGAGTTAGGGTTCGCCGAGTGATCCAGTTGATCATCGATCTCCCCAGAATTCCAGAAAGGTAAAACGAGCGTAACGGCGACGAATCATCGCCTAGGCAACCAGTTGGCAAAACACTGGCGTCGAAGAGCCGTGGACGCGGGGGGCAGCGTCGACGAGCGTCGTCTCGAGGAACAGGCCAGTCTTCTGTATGGATTTGTCGCTGGTGACGGATGACACGGTTCGATCCACGTCCCCGAGGACGCCGATCGTTTCAGTCGGCATCGTTTTTTCCCGTCTGACATGAACACGCTGGAGGAACTCGACTCGGAGCCCCGGGCGTACGACAGCTGACGGCAGCCAGACGATCGTTTGCATCCTGGGAAAAGCGAGCGCGGATAAGGGGAAAGATGGATGTCAGGTGCGCCTGGATCGTCTCTTTCGGGCTCGTCGTACTTCTCGTCGTATCGCAAGGTCAGTTCCAGGGCATTCACCGATTTCTTACAGGTGGATCTCCTGTTTCTTGATGATGGCTTGTTTCTCAACTCCTAGCGAATATTATTTATAATTCATTTCCATTGTATATGTCCTTGGCTTGTAAGATCAATTCCAGGGGATCCGCCAATTTCTTACAGGTGGATCTCCTGTTTCTCGACGATGGCTTGTTTCTCAACTCTTACAAGCACTCCTAACTCCTACGTCACCCCATTGTCGTCACGATAAATTTGAAAATCTAGTAGCGTCCAATCTACTGAAATAATCCAATTCGATACAAATATTTTGAGACTCGAATCTACTATCTTCCGAGCTTTTTTTTTTAGCCAAGCATTCTACTTGATAAATCTGTCCGAGATTTGCTAACAGACCCCAGACAGCCATTGATATATTACGAATATGTATAATGGCAGACAGAAGGTAGCGGTAACACCCTTCCTTCTTTTTTGTTCTGGCGGTGTCAGGCTGGGCCATTGACTGCTTCAAGTGCGTGTCGATCGACGGCGACAATAAGCCCTGCGACGACCCGTTTCACAATAACGGAAGCCTCGCTTTCTTGGAGTCGCCGTGCATGGGAGGACGCAAAGGCCGCGATGGTCTCTTCCCTGCGACCGCGTGCATCAAAATAGCGGGCATATACGGTAAAAACTTCCTCCTATTGTGATTTTCCAAGTGGCTACTTAACCCCTTTCGACGCTGCGTGTTCCCTGAATACACTATGGCTCGCTACGAGGGCGCACAATGCGCTCGCCGCCGAAGATCTTGGCGCTGAGAAGGGTTAGGCAAACCGCTTGAAATAATTAGGCACTGTTTTCGCGACGCTGGAGAGCGAGACCAACTATTGGCGCCGTTGTGGCCTTATCCAACGAACGGCGCCTTTGTCGTAATTAGAATTGGAATTAATTGCACGAAATTTCTGGTCTCGCTAGGAATCAAATTTTATCGGAATGTTTTTCAGCTTGAAATTGAAACTGAATTGAGATCGAATGTCCGCTCGAGACGACGCGATACTAGAAGCTGTTTTGTAATTTCCTTTTTTTTTTTTCTTTTTTCTTTTTGAATTTTAAGCGTAATAGATTAGATCGGAAACATTGATTTGTAATTGTCGATTGATTAGACGAGTCTGGAATCTCTTTGACGGTGAGAAGCTGTGCTCTGGACAGCGGGACTTTGACGACCGACTCGGAAATAATAAGAATGTCGCATTGCGGAGGGTTCTACTTCGACGACAAGTGAGTTTCAGTGAGAAATCTATTCCGCTTCCTTTCTTCCTCTGTTATCGAACGTTGCAGGAATTACGCCAACCTGAAATCGAATACCTCTAGCGATCTTAATTTTTGTGAAGACGCTCTCCTAATTAAGGAAATCTACAGAATTCAGTAATGGATTAAAAAAATATTGTCCTTTCGCTGTATTATTTTTAACCGAACTAAATTCTCTCGAATTGCAATTCTAACGAATCCGTGACTTATAGATACGTTCGAGGTTGCGTTCAATCATGCAACGATGCAGACGCCTGCAACGGATCCACGCGACAGGCAGCTTCGTTCGTGGTTTTGGTTTTGTCGCTTTTCGCAGAGTTAGTTTGATGGAGACGCTCTACATATCATGTATCAATTGAAATCATAGACAATTATTGTATATAAAAAGAGAAAACGAAGAAGACAACACCTGTAATGGACCATTTCGAACTTGAAACTCTAAGATGACCAATTAGCTGTGGACCAAAAACGAAAGAAATATAATATCATTAATGAGATAACGATATTAATATCAACTATCAAATAATATCCATATCAACGTAGAATAATTAATAGAATGTAAGGTTGAAATATACAGTTTATCTGGTCTCAATGTGTTCGTGCAATAATTTTTCAAAATATTCAAAATAAACATCCATAAAAAGAGTTTTATTTAAACAGAGAAATATAATATCGAATTTCAATTGTGTCGGAGAGTTCAGCTTCACAAATCCGATCGTCGTTTTTACTAGCTACAACATTCTTGGATCGCAAATCTGAAAACGAAATGCATGTATGCACTGAGACCAAAACATCCTGTATAATTATTTCTTAAGACACGCAACAAATATTTAGACCAACGAACAGGCTCACGATTTGATACTATTAGACAGATTGCAAATAGCAACGACAACAACTGCCATCTCAATTACGAATACCTATACGTTAAAAAAATAATCGTCGACATTTTATTATACCACACGCATCGTTTTCTTCGTATCAAGTATCATAGAGATATAATGAGTTACATATTACTGATCTTAGGCATCGTTTGACGACAGTGAGATATACGAAATTATCGCAGACTGTATACCGTATTAAATAAACGAAATTTTAAGGTAACTTCGCCTACGATTCAATGAATATACCATACCATAAGTTAGCGATTTCGATCTAAAAGTTGGCAAATTTTATTTTTAATTCAGTTAAAAGATTATTTTATAATAAATAAGACCATAGTCCGTATCGCTCGTTATCCGTGCGCAGAGTAACGAGAACCGCGAAGAATCGATTTATATAAAAATAAACATTCCATTAAAAAGAAAAGTGCAAGTGCATGCTGCACTTAAGAGATAAGTTGGTTCGCGGGAATGTCCTCATTAAGCTACACAACAGTTTCCCCTGCAAACTTCCATCTTCGTTTAATACTGTGCAAAAGCACGTTCCAGTTTCTAGAAGCATCCTCGAAGGAAATGTAATGGCGTCAACGTCCCTTATTAAGCCACCATATCTAATTTCATGACTTACATTGCCATCTGAATTTCCTACATTGCCAACTAAGCGTCCTGCACTATCGACAAGGTATTCCATCGCGAGTAGATAATCCTGCCTTATCAACCAAGCGTTCTACACTATCGACCTCTACCGATAATGTACTCCATCGCGAGTAGACAATAGAGTACAACGACAACTTCGCGTTCTTGTTTTCTTCGCACGAAAAAATTCACACACGCATTTAAACGATGCAATTTCAAGAGGATAGAGACCAATTCCAACAAGCGCCATAATTTATGGAAAAACACAAGAGCAAAGATCCTAAAGTTCATCAAAAATTACGTTTGAAAGCATGAAATTCGTTGACTGCTACGATGTAAAAGCGAATAGAGCGGAAGCTGGAGAAGAAAGTATGAAAAACAGACGGAGGCTAGACCAGGGTCGTCAATCATGAAAAATCGCGTGTCGAACGCCTCACAGCAGTTCGTTGAGCTCTTCTCGCGAGTGGTCTGCTGGCTATGGGAAACTCTCGACAAGTTATTGGACATCTTTCTCGATTTCCTGGCGAGGCTAATCGAGCTGACACTAGCGGTGATGAACCTGATTTTCCAGGTGATCTGCTTCCTACGAGATATCTGCATCGACTCGATGCAAACCTTCGCTAACATCTTCCGTGGTATCGTTAACGTCATTGCTAACATCACCTGCGACGAAGTCGAGGATTTCGCCTCTGCTTGCATCGTCGTCCTCCTCTGGATTGGGGCCTTCAGGATCGCCAGGAATCTGTTCAACCGAGTAGGAATCTCCTGTGACTGTATCTACGCGGTGTCCTAGGATTTTCTGCGCGAACTATGCTGGCAGCGATCAGCAATTCCGGGACTACGGTGCTAAAATATGTGGTGGGGCACTCTGAGAGTGAACTTAACCCTTCCCTAAATCTTTGTTGCATCGTTATAGGCCATTGGAAGAAACTGTAACATTTTGTATTTAACATTTTTTCGGTATCTCTTATGTTTACCGAGATACAATCAGACCTGTCTAAGTGTCGCGATAATGTCCTCTGTAGGTACCGCGTATACCTTCATCTTAATGATACCACTGTACTAATTATATTTAACACGAACATACCTCTATAAGATACGCTGACCACGAACTCCGATATTTTCACTACTACCGACAAGTCTGGCTTCTCCATCTATATTCGGCTTCCAGTCACTCACTTTAACAAAATAAATAATTGAACACGTATCAACCAAGTATCCTTCCACATTCACACTCGCGTACGCGTGAAACGATAGCTTTTATAGAGAGGGATCGCCCGCTTCTTTTCCACCGCGATAATTTTAATAGTAACAGAGAAGTTATTTATTCGAACGATAATCTCAATATCATACCAATGTCTCCCAGAGTTCTAGAGTCAACGTGTTCCGTCTCTTCGGTCAGCAACACGCGGCGAATATAAACAATAACAATAAGCTAGCAGCTGCGCAACTCGGATGTGTTTGTCCCACGAGGAAAAGGACAGGGAGAAGGAATAACCGGCGAAATGGGAGACGACCTCAGGCCAAACTCGCGGATGAAGAATTGAGCGGCTAAAATGAAATAGAAGGCGACAATGTAAGAAAAATCAAAATGCAATCGTCAATTTTTCGCTAAATATAAAGCACGCGATACAGGATAGTTGAATGGCTGCCTGAAAACCTATAAAAAAAATCGGAATCTCAGATAATTTTTTAAATAATTAAAATTGTTCCGCAGATTCGGCAGAAGACATCTAGAAAACGAAAATCGAAGGAAGACAGCATATCTTATAAATATTATACCTTATACTTTATTCTATTACACATTCTTTTTATAAAAAAAATTGGTAAAATACTCTGACGAAAATAACGCCAAAATTTTACGTTCGCCTATTTACAGAAATATTCATTCGTTGTAACAATGTGTAAACTCGTATATCAAATACAATTACACCTTTCAACTTGCGTTCTATTATGTACAATTAAATATAAAATGTTAACAGGCATCAATCTGTAAAAGAGAGGCGTGGAAATCTTTGCTATCCAAAATAGAGAATATATTTTTTAGGTAAATCGAAATATGTTAAATATAATCGGCCTCCTCTTTTACACGTTGATATGCGAAGTCTTATAGTTCTGTCGTTTGCGCAACAATCGTGTTTCAGCATTCCAGTTATAAATAAGTTCTTTGAAACCCACTGTTTAATAAGATAATACTTTGTTCATGTTAATTTGTATCCTAACTCGCTTAAAGGTACTAAAATGTGTTTTAACATTTTCTCAGTCATTTACTACAGTAATAACCAGTTTATGTTCAGGCCAAGAAAATGTCTTTGGCAATTGAACCTGGAAAATGTTTCAGAATAGAATATTTTCATTGTAAAGTAATGTATCTTGCAAAATAATTTTCAATAGCATTTACCTGATTCGTCGAATTTAAAATTTGAAACTCTTGAGCCATTTTCTCAGACAAATCTTCTGGAAGTAGCACCTGTAGCCATGGTCCTTGAACCACGTATGGTTTTTCCCTAGAAACTAGAGTACCAGTAACCGATGGCGCAACTATGGTAACAGCTGTGTTGGACAATATGGACTTGAACGTAAAATGCCTTCCATGCATGACGCGGCCCCTGTAAAATCATTCGATATTAGTACTTTTAATACTCGACTAATAATCTATCCCAAACGGTAATTATGAGGATATATACTTTATTGCTAACGGTAACAAAGATCCAGCTTCAAGATTAAAAGTCAAGTGAAGGCCTGACAGGACTTTGATAAAATTTTCATGAGATAAATTTAAATCTAATTCACAAGGTGACAATCTTTCCGACTTTATAATTGGTTTTATATCTTCATCTTCTTCGTCCGATTCGTTTCTTTTTTCTCTGTACTTCTCTGTACTCCTATCACTGTTCACTTGAACCCACCTGCGCGATAACATATGACCATAACATTTAATTCGAGGATTAGTTTAATTATGTAGAAATGAATTGAAGGTACACAGACCAACACTTTGCAGACACGCCACTTAAATTAGAACCTTCCTTTTCTATCCCAGTCTGTATTTTCTCTGCTATGGAGGGGTCATCTTCCATAATGGAATGTACCCGTCTCATATTTGTCACCAGCCATGGTCCACAACCACGACTGGTCTTCAACAAACTCACGAGACCTAAGCCATTCCAATGCTGTGCAGCCTGCAATTCTTCGGAAGTGACTCCTACAATTTGAACAAACGAAACCTGTAACATTACGCATCAACCATCAGAAACATGATACTCAGACTACTACTTCCCATTAAATAAGCTAATCAACTTACATCTCCGTGAGGTGTACATATAGATGTTGGCAATTGTGGATCCTTCCCCATTAAAATTTGCGTGATACGACCATTTCCATTGTCCAATGGAGCATGCCACGAAACATGGTCACCAGGCAACAGCATGTTCCCAGAATTAAAAACATATTTTGCCAACTGCTGCATCACGTTTGCTGGCCAAGTTGGTGGACTCATCTCGTTTCTTTCTCTGACTAATCTAAAGGTCAATTCGAATCCAAAACCACTAGGGCGACCTGGACCACTCTTTGGATGTATCCTTCCATCGCCGTGTAGATCAGACAAGCCCAAACTTAACAAAGAAATGTTATTACAATACCATGTAATACTACATTCTAAGAAGATGAGGATAGCTAAAGCAGAGGTGTGTACAACTTGTAGATAATAAGTATCAAGGAATTGAAAGGACAAATATAACTCTAGACTCAATTCGAGAAAAATAGAACAAGTTTGGTGAATGGTGGAACATATTTAGATAAGACAGACGGAAAAGGGGAAGTCCCCGCGCATCTATTTCCGACGGCGTCGCATTTTAAACGACTTTATCTTCCTGTACCCTACACTTTCTATATATAGAGAAAGAGGGAACTACTGGACCAGCTGCTGCGGACTGAAGAAGGAAGGGTCACGCTTCCAAAAAAAAAAAGATAGAACACCCTTTTGCGGTAGACTATTCGTCATTCGGCGCCTAAGTTTTAATAAGGAATTCCTCAAACGGGATTCATTTATCTTTCGACATCGTGAGTCATGGCGACAGGCTTCGATGCGCTAGTATAGTTGCAAAACTTTCTATTCCAAAAATAATGTCAATTATCAAAATAAATTCTCTTCATCGAATAGTACTACATATTATTTTTGAATATTATAATCTCTAAGTTCACAACGACCTAAGTTGAAAGAGAAAAACGAAAAAAGAAAAAGGTGAGAAAAGGAAGTAGCTTCTAAGGGAAAAAACAAAATGGACGAAAAGATGGTGTACGACGTCGAGTCAAGAATTTTTAATAACGATTCTAATAATTGGCGCGATGATTTTATTATTCGTATAAAATTGTAGATCTCTCCGAGTTGAAGTGTCTCTTTCATGTTTGATCGCAGTCGCACGATAAACGAAATTTCCTAATGACAGAAATGGGTCCCAGCATACACGTGTCATGGAGGGTGTGTTGGAAAATAACATGCGCCCACATCAGAGCCACACTCCTACTTCTCGACAGGGTGAGCACTGACGAATACCCGACTTCCCGTTTTTTTTCCCTCAACTCTCAGATTCTTCCCTGTTTTTCTATCCCATAAAAAAAAGAGAAACAAGAAAGGACGCGTCCTTTCCCGAATAAATGACACGCGGCGGAGTATCATTTGCGCACGGGACAAAAGAAATTGGTTACGAAATGTTGTCGACAATTTTTATTAAACTTGCGAGACGATAGACGTCGATTCTTTAAATTGTAGGATACGTGTTCCCATAAATATGTATGTTCATCGTATTAAAATTTAAATTCGAAGAAATGGGGTTAAAACAAAATGATCGTGGTGAATAGTAACAAAATGAGCGAGAGAAAAAGGTTGAATTAGGAAGGATAAAATGATAGAACTCACCTGATGTAGTGCCAATGTGGTGGTATGCCTAATTCGGGGCAGCCAGGGTTCTCGTACATACTTATGTAGTCGAGAGGATCAGGACCCCCCAACCTAGGCAAAAGGTGTACAGAAAATTCCAGTTATTCGGTTTTATATCCGGTTAAGCGCGACTAAGGGTGACTAAATATAAGCCTTCCCTTCCTGTGCAGGTCTGAGTTTGGTTGCGTACTAAAAGTCGGTACTTAATCACCTTTCTCGGTATCGCAGAGATTCTTTAAAGTAGACAGTAATGCTTATAGCAATTCCTTCAAACACAAATGTCCGACTCACGACGAAATATGTAATACATTCGCGAAAAAAAATTAAATTCAAAAGGAATAGATATAAAAAAAAAATGGTTGATTTCACTTTCTCAAAACCCTGTGTAACGTAAACAATTTGAATAGAAACGTGTGTAAACGATATATGTATATTTCTTCAGCGTATAAAACTGATTAGATGGTTCTTCTTTAATTTTAAGAGGCACACTGTGCCCTTAATTCATCGCCAAGTAAAAGAAAAAATGAATTAGTATGTGTAGCAGCATCGCGGTACTTTTAACGATAATAGAATACGATTCATTGTTCACCGTCGATGGTCTGGCAACGTGTTAGAAATGTCAAGTGTGCAATTCCGTTCGAGTTTTATGTATTTCCACGATGGAAGATCAGTTTTCGTGGTTAAATGAGAGAGAAAGAATTCTTACCAGTACTTGACGACAGCGGTGACGGTGAGGGGATTGCTCTGGTCGGGATATATCTCTTTACAAAGGCTGTGCAGAGCGTCGAGACCCAGGGCCCGAGCCGTCGGTGGCTGGGACGGTTGTCCTGGTGGATAACTTCGGCAGAATTCTTCTCTTTCACGCATATTTCCGTACATATGCACAGATTACCACTCACGAAACGCACTGCTCCCAAAGATACTACGCGTACGCGACCCACGATCGTTTTGTTTACGGTCGTACGACCACTATTCGTCCACCTTCCGTCGAGCACGAGAAGAAACACGTCTCAGATCCACGAGAAAACTAAAATTACTCGACGAATGCACGATCGAACGATTCTGAAATCACTGCACGTCTCTGAAAGTTGCATTTCAGAGAACGGGGGAGAACGCTTCGCGATTGGAAGGTTTCATTCGACACGAGCTTCTATTGGCCTGTTCCATCGACGATGGTCGACGACTACGGAGAGGGAAAATCAGTGAAAATCGCAGAGTCCAATCGACTTCTTCGCTAAAGTGCTAGATGGCATCACTAAACAGAGTGATGCACTGAACTATACTAATACTAGAAAATACACCGTTTGTTGGACATTTAATGTACAATTCATAATTTTCTAACCACATGCGTTTACTAGTATATTATAGTGTTATAAAATAAAGAATAATTTAATAGAAGATATCGGTGGCGCCATTTTAAAGAAACTGTGATAACTATTTTTGCTATAAACTTGGGCATTTTCCTACCAATGGCGCCACTGGTTCTAAAACCCATACATATATATAGTTCAATGCAGTAACGTACATTGAATTATAATTTATAACTACAAAGTAGTGTTTGGGTACTTTTACAGAGACGAAACTCCAATATTTTTCAAATCCCAACTCTATCAGTTTTTATTGTGGTTTGGAATTTATTTATGTGTTATAACAAACTATCTAAAAAAAAAATCTAATTCTACATAACAGTCTCGCCTTGCCACCATCACGTGTGATCACGTGGTTTTATTTAGATCTACATATATATATATATACTTTATTGTCTTATGAAACGTACCTACTATAGAACAATTTCATGAAGAATAATCAAATCTTCGAGCATTATTGCAAAGCATTGCACCGACCGTGTTTTATATTATGATCACGCATTTATAAAGTCGACATACACCTAACCGATACGTCGTGCCATACTGTCATACAGTAAGTATAAGTCACTGTGAATATTGCTGTGCTATTTGCGAACGAAGAACGTAGTATTCGGCGACTATAAAAGATGCGACAGTATTAATTTAATGAAAAGTCGTTTAAACGTGAAGTCGAAACAAGAATCTCAATATAATTTTTTCAAACTCAAAATAGTAACTTTTTTATCGACCTCCTGAAACTTTGAAATGGAAGTTCCAAACAATATGGAGAAGAATTCAGATATGATGAATGAATTGGATTGGATTCGGATACGTGCGGAGCTTAGCGATCATATAAAAGTGGAAACGTTCACAGAAAAAATGGTGCGGAAAACGAAAGAAAATCCCGTGGTACCTTTAGGTGAATATAACCTATACTAATGTTGCACCATTGTTTGGTTTGCACACAGTAAATGAGTGCTTGTTAAATACATGTTAATTCCAGGCGCCATGGCAACTGTAGCTGCTCTAACGGTTGGTGTTTATAACTTTTACCATGGGAATACAAAGATGTCTCAATATATGATGCGTGCACGTGTAGGGGCACAGGCATTTACTATATTTGCTATGGTTGCTGGATTTATGTTAACAGTAAAGGAATAAAAATTAGGTGATGCATCGCTATTAACTTATTGACTATGGATGATTTATGTGTACAAGTAGTTTTAGTATTTTCTTGAAGGATCAATGGTCAATAGGTTAAGTTACCTATCTGTTATTAGTACAATTCCATAAACATACAACATCTTTGTTGCAAACTTTTGCTTAGGAATTGTTGTTTTCATAACTGTAAAATTTGTTAATTGTTTTCATTAAAAAAGAAAAATTGTGAAATGTCACCTCTATTCATAAACAAGAAGACTCCTTGAGGAAGCATGGAATATATTTAAAATACACGAAACTATTAAACGTGTACTTTATAATCTAAAATCTTTAGAGAGATTCATATATTCTATAAACATATAGTGTTTAATCGATAATCGAATGCACATAATATGTACTTTGTACGTCTAGGCAGATCAAGTTATATATATTTACTGTGTTACTGCTCGCAAATAGACGAAAAACAAAATTGTAAACATTTCGAGATACCAATAGTTTACATATTTTTACCACATTCATCTGTGATGAATCGTATCAGTAAATTGCCAATGAGATTTGTACTCTATAATCGACGGTCGAGGGCGTACTGTCGTCGATGCCCTACCAACCGAACCATGATATTCCGAGGCAAGTTTGCACGCTTCCTTTGGCTTAGTTATCCTCGACACAGAATTCGGGAAAATCGATTCTGTAAAAATTAATAATTATCTCTTTTATTAAAATACGAGCTTTATTAAAACAAACTATCATTTCTTCATCAAGTATTACCTATCAAAGGTGTTTCGTCATAGAGAGATCCTTGACGGTTGCCAACAAAAGAATTTCTGGCACTCGTATTCCCACTTGAATTATCAGAACACGGAATTCGCTGTAAGTTTACCGCTGCGTGTTTCCATCTCGAATGCTCGTTAATACGTGTTGTCAGTTGTTCGAACCATTTTTGAAGGTCCTCTTTTGTATTGAATTCAATAGTATCGCGTTTCTTGGTCCCGTCTACAGAATTGATTATTCGCAATTGGTTGTACATTGACTTCGATTGACGAACGAGTGTCTCCTGAAACGATAACGTGCATTGTCAGTACGTACAGTTTTATTATTATTCGAAGAAAAACCTTTTGGTAATAGTTATTATGAAATTTAATCGTGCTGTAGTATAACAAGGTCGTTGAGCAATCGAAGACGAAGTCATGCTATTCGTCGATAATAGTGTTTCTGGTTAAAGATGACAGTTTACCATCTATGATGTCATCGAATATTTTTACACTGTACATAAGAATCAATGACGATTTTCTTCCTCACCTTGTTGACATCAATCGTATACGTAGGTTCGTGCGATCCTTCTGCTAGCTTCTTTGATTTCCAAGTTTCGATTTCAAAGCCTCGCAGTCGTGCCCAGCAACGTTGATCGTTTATGTTTACGAATCCTATACGAACCTCTTTATCAATACAATCTGGTTGAACAGCCAAACGACAACAGAAGTGCCCAAACAGCGGTAAGGCGTGAACTTTGTTTTCTAAATCAAAAACATTGAATGTTCAATAATTTGATTTTCTGTTGTACATAAGAACCAAATAACACCTTTAAGTCTTTTGTTCCCTATTATTTGGTAATCCTTACCAAAGTTGTTCAATACCAAGTCGTGTGTACGTGTATTCGTATCGCTATCGTCGAGAGTCATCTTTGCATAGGCCACTAAATTGAATTGAGGCCCACTGGAAGGTAAGGAATCAAACATGAGGAAGTAATTTGCCAAATTCACAAATTCGAAAGCGGAGACTTACGTCTTGCTAGAATCGTATTCGTCACGCAGAGAAGCTGCGAACTTCCTACCAACGGTTTTCGAAATCGAAGAGTGAATAGTCCTGCTAATTCTCCTTGGAGTACTGGCGATGCTGAGATCTTCTTGCAGAACGTGACTGTAGATTTCCAGAATCACCTCGAATTCAGCAGGCACATTGTTACTAAAAATTTAACAGAGAAGTGACTTCTTTTTTGTGCCTGGAAACAACGAACGATATACTTACAATAACAAAACGTCGGGAAAGCTAATGTCCGTCTGTTCTCTATCGACGGGACAAAGTAGACTGGTGTCGTGAATTTCTGTGCCAACACGAGCTAGACAGAAGACGGCGAACCTTCTATGATCACCGCGATTTTTAAAATGATCCGAGTCCCTCCACATCAAAGGAAATCTTAGATCTGAGATGGATAATTTGCCTCTACTTTCGGATGTGCTGCAACATACAATAATGTTATTTGAATATAAATTTGGAAGGATGAATGCAAAGATAAATTTTTCTTCTTGAAATACTTGCGAAGTAAAATTAGAAAATTAATAGTAAATACAAATAAAATATCTATTTATTACGATTTCTAATACACGATAATTTTGAGTGCGCGTAGCAATTTCTAGTCGAAGATATATTACCTCGTCGTTTTCGGGGATGTGTCCTTTCTCCGATGTTGCAGCTCGGCCATGTAAGCAGTCATTCTTTTGCTTGATGTAAGCAAAGCACGTGCCGCTTCCAAGCTTTGAGCAGGATGCCGCGCAGCAGCCAACAGCCTCGACGAGCCTTCCTTCATTTTCACTTCCAATTCTATCTTTCGTTCCAAATCATATTCCTGAGGAACAAGGACACCGCGTCTATCGTAAATCATCGTACTGGAAAAATACCTTGATCAACTTTTTTCGTAGGCTTCGCGCGATATTTATTTCGTAAATTATTCCTGCTTGCGTAGCGATACTTGATGACAAAGCGACACGTCCGCACTCGACCTACGCGAGTTTAAGTTCCGAATTCTTTTCTTTCGTGCACTTTCGTCCACTTCATAAAATTAAACGAAAAAAAGGAAAACTGGTATTTCCAAGAACTTTCAGACGGAGTTGGATAGTCGTTGTCTTGGAATTACTTTTGTAATAATTAGTCTCAATCATCCCACTAGTGGTTAATAATAAACTAGATTACTGTTTCATAATTAGTCACTAATCGCGATCGTTAATCAATTCAAATTACTTTTGTAATAATTAGTCTCAATCATCCCACTAGTGGTTAATAATAAACTAGAGTTGAATAAACTGTAATCGTATAGGAAATTAGTATTTTGTAATTTTGCTAAGTTAATCCTGTCTGTTTTATAGTTAGTCACTAATCGCGAACGTTAATTGTTTCGACAATCATGGATTAGAAGTAGACTCTTAAACACTGTGTACAGGAAATTTCGAATGATGCTACACACGTAACCGTGCGATACGTCCCGTTACTTCAATCAATCGTCGAACTGTCATCGACGCCCAAATACGAAACTAATACAACATTTCTGATCATGGAAAACAAAACCTTCGTACTCACGTTCTCGTCGAGGTACTTTAACTTCGTACGTTCTCTTACGTGAATTGCAATTTTGAAACAAACGAAACACTCGAGTTAAACGAAAAGAATAATAGAAACGATTTATATTCCAAGGTAAACACCGTTTAAATCGCGCGATATTCTACGTAGGTGAAAAAAAGGTATAGTTGGAAACAAGTCTAACCATTCTGTACCTCTATAGGACTGCAAGTTCGTTCGCGTTCGTACTGATCGTTAAATCTATAGCAAGTGAATAATGCTACCATATCTTCTCCTCAGAAACTCCTTCTACGGACTTATTCCTTGGTCATGCACGAAAATATCTAAGTGACGCCGACCGGAATAGCCGATTTCAGATAGAAATAATCAAGCGGAAACAAATGGAATCGTTCGGCCCTCGTCGCGAACGGTTTCGTATCGTACTGAAAACCTCGCCGCAAAGATCCCACATTGAATCACACAAACGGGGAGGGAGTAGGGTTTTTGGGTGGGATTATTCGACTTCCCACCCATCCGCCGCGTTAAAATCAAACTGCACGCTAAACTATAAAGCGCAAACGACATTCGGGGAATAAAAGGGTAAAAAACGAGTTCGAAGAGCGCGTAAAATGAAATTGCATGCAGATAACAAGCGTTATTTCAAAGCATAGTCTTCTTTTTCGTCCAATACGAACGTAACTTATTGTTAATTGTACGGTATTTAAATATTCAAATCGTATAGAACGATTTAAAGGGTAAAATGGTATTATATCGATAGAAATCTTGAGAATCGTAATATATATACATCAAGTACCTTTAAAAAACTTTTTTACAACTCAACTTTTTTAAGTAATTATTATTTGTAAGATCATATAAGATAATACACTTTTTGCACTTCTTAAATTATGTTGTTCTTTAACGGACATTTTCAAAAAGAGAAACGCGACAGTAAAACATAACCTATTCTTTCGAGACAATCCCAAATATCGTCATCATAAAAAGATAAATTACTTAAATTGGATTTTTCAAATATCGAAATAAGTACAGACTCTATGTAGTTATGAAAATAAACATTCACTTGTGTTAGTTCAATAAACAAACCGGTTCGCAGAGCAACAGGTTGTAAACAATAAAGTTTCACTTTTGAAAGTAAACTTACCGCTGCGTTTTTGCAATTTCGAATACTTTCCCGTCTTCTAACGCGTGCTTGGTAGTCACTTAACGAACGCAGGTAATTGTTTTCCTTGTCCAAAACATTGTTCGATCCGCGAAGCGTTCCGAGGCTTTTTCTGCGCGGTGCCATTTTAAAGTTTAACGTCTCTCTTCTCAAACGGTGGACGCAGCAGCCATTACGAAAGAACGTCAGATGGAAACACAAAGGGAAGGGATAACGAGCGAAGATTGAAAATTTATGTGCGCTGTTTGTAAATAAGTGGTTCGAAGTTTCGATTAAAACTATGTCAACTGACGATCGATACTGGTTGATGCTAGTTGTGAAAAAAAGAAAATAGATTCGAAGAGGGTAAGTGAAGTTTTGAAAAATTGAAAACTTATATTTGGTATACATGTATTCACAAAACAGGGATTAACATAGAGTTATATATCCAAGGAGCACAAGTTTTTTTTTATTTCTTTTCCTTATCCTTATCTTTATCCTTCTCCTTCTCCTTTTCCTTCTCCTTCTCCTTGTCTTTGTCTTTGTCCTTGTTTTGTTGGAGAGATCCAACGGCTTGACGGACGGCATCAGAATGGGGATCGACACCAGGTAAATTTTCTAGAACTGATTGCAGAAAAGCTGGGTCGGACATGACGGCAGCGTAGTCCTCCTCGATTTCCATTGACTCTTCTTTCAAAGACTCGAGCTCTTCTACAGAAAAAAAGCAAATGGTTACGTGTGTGCGGTATGCATGATGTACAGATTCCTGTCGAGAAAAATTCAATGGTGATCGTTGATCACTCGTGACGGTTAAAGATTTAATTAATCGTAAATGCATGTATCGTACGTTGATCTTGATTAAGCATGGACATCTGTAAAGCGAAAGCAATTTGTTCTTCCTCAGTCATACGAGAGAAGTCAGGCACGATTCCACTAGTGGGCGTAGTATTCTCTGACGCTGAAGACGAATCTTCGGGACCCTCGAGCGACATGGCAAGCGCACGCTTTAACATTGTTTCCTCCTTCGGAGCTGCTTTCTGAGTTTCTCCTCGCTGGACTGTAGTCACTTCAGTAGACTGCGCGCGTCGTGCTTCATCCTCTTGACGCTGCCGTTGCTCTTCCATCGAAACACGTAGTGCCTGGACAAAGAAAATGACAAATTATTCTCTACTATTAATAATATTTAATAAAAATCGTTAAGTACGAACCAATGCCAACTCTGGATCTTCGTTTGGATCGACCCCGAATTCAAATGCAGCTCCTCCCACGCCTGTACCACCCATTCCATCTTCTCCTTGAATGATGGGAGAAGAAATCAACGCGTCCGATAAATGCGGTCCAGGTGGGACAGTAATCAAGAAACTGCCTGTGCCATCTTTTCCATTGAGTGTATTGATGAAGGCTGTTAATACTTCGCTGTTAACGCTTTCCTCGCCGAAGCTAATCACGTCGACACAGACTTTCTCTTTCTTCAACCGTTTCGCTAATTTAACTAGTTCTTTTTCATCGACCTCGATTGGACTACCAATGAAAGCAACGATGCGCATTTTGTGATTTTTACCTTGGCGATGTTTCAATGCCAGCTGTTGATTAACAATTTTTTTATTGTTGTATTTGTTGTGCTTAGATTGTAAAATGGGAGAATGGTTATTATACTCACATGTGCAATTCGTATTCCGGTAATTAGATTTAAATTACCGTTTGGTTGAACTTGATGGAGCTTTGATAGAATTCTGCCTACATCACTAGTCAATGTGGCCAACACTTCGGTACTATTAGAAAAGATGTAAGTTATGTAAAAATTTAGATGCTACTATGGAAGAATAGAGTATGAAATTTGACATACTTGGCCAATGTTATTAAACCAATATTATTCTCTGGATTTGAACGTGTCTTGGAATGGCAGACCACATGAACGGCATCTTGTTGTGCTTGAAGTCGAGTTGGTAAAAAATCTCCATTTCTCATGTAATCGCTATTGTCGACACTGAAAATATTCAAATAAATATTGATGAATAGACACATAGGTGGGGACAGATAAAATTTCATATGTAATGTTTATTCAATCTGATAATTATTCACATGAATTAGTCAATGTGAAACATAATTTAATTGTACAATTCGAATCGTAATTTTAATCAAACAAATAATATATCGAAAGTTGGTTATCTTTTATTCGAAACTTTTTATGAAGATGAGAATGTCGCCCATCTCTGTTTTCAGAGAGCTCTGTCGCATAACCTCTACCTACCTCGTTTACAAAGGTGAATATATTTCAGATAAAAACAATGAAACGTTTCATATTCAATATTTCATTTCTAATTTTCGATTGGATTGGCTTCAGTATTCGTTAATTTTTAGTCAGCAAAGAAAATAATCACATTTGTGCTACGAATTGTTTCAACTTTGCACTGTCACTCGCGTTTACGTTTTTGGAGCTACCAAGATATTAATTCTCACAAGAGTCAATCAAATTAACAATAGTCTCATTACGTTTGATCGAATTTCAAGAAACGTACACGAATAATCATAAAAATACCGTGCTATTAGGTAGAAATTAAATAAATATCGAGAGCTTACCATATCATCGTACTTTCCAGTACCATCTTGATTCCAATCACTGACGTGTTTCACGTTTCGTTCCGTTTCGTTCCGTTCTGTCCTCGCGTCGTATCTTCCTGTGTTCAGTTCTGTTTCATTTCAATTTGTTTTGGTCTCATTATTTAACGTACGCAAAACGTACAGAGATAATATCGAGGAGAAAAAGAAAAACATGTTGCTTATACTCGTAGACAATTACGTCGTACGTATACGTTAACCTTCGTGCAAAGTATAATTATAAGGAAAACGAATTATCTGCTACACTTGGATTAAGCATCGATCGAGATGGTGAATTAACATCGAGATGAGAGTAACAAAAATAGGGAATGTTTAGAAATAGAAAAGTGTTTAATGAAAGAGGTGCAACGATCGATATAAAAAGTGTTTAGGAAAAAAAAATAACAATGTATATTAAAGGGAGGAAGAAGATTCGGGGATTGAGTCCAGTTGAAGACTCGAGTATCTTGGTGCTTGATCCATAAGGGTGGCTTCCTCGTAAGTAGGCGGTTGATCGATACGGCATCTCGATTTCAACAACATTTGTCTAGTTCGTCTTCTGTCGGCGAAGGCTCGTAGGATAACGATGAGAGGCCCTAGAAGTAGCATAACAATTCCAATCGCGAGCATGATTATAGCAACAGCTGCCCCGACTCGATTTACAGGGGAACGAGCTAATTGTGTTTGATTTTTGCCGATTCCTGCGGCTTCGTAAGGAATGCTCTGATGTTCGAAGAACTTTTTCTCGTCCAAAGTAAGGAAATTAGAACCAGTGTCATCGAACTTCAACGAATTACTCGATCCGTTGTTACTCGTCGCGATCTTCTCCATATCGTAAGGATTTTCGTCGAGATTAAGCGCAACGATGTGTTTTTCTTTGCGGTCCACCTTTCCTTCCTCGTTTTTGTTCGTTTGATGGAACGTCTGTGCTTGAATCGCGCGGATGTCGCGTGTATCTTGTTTACGATTCGTCGTTAGCTTGCTAATCATTGGACTTTTTTCAGTTACTCCGGTATTGTCCATTCGATAAGAATCGACCTGTTTGCTCGGCCATTGTCCGTTCTGTGCAGCGACGTCGAGATTACTAAGAATGACGTCTTTCTGCCGTGTTGCGATTTCGTGTTCGACGATTCGGTGACGTTTTTCCGCGATACTCGAATCACGAATTGATTTCTTCTCGTTCCATCTCGTTAACCTTTCCTGTGAAAATAGCGTTCTCGAATCTTTTGCCAATTGATTTGTGGTTCGCCAAAAATAGAAGTCTCGAGAAATGTCAATCGGTTCGAAAAGTAGGAAAGAGCCTCTTGACATACCTCGTTCTTATTCGCTAACTTTCAACATCCATCGTGCATATCTTTTTAAATAAATTCGATAATACGTTAAATATAAATATACAGAGTGTCCCAAAAATGTTGTAACACCTTGAAAGAGGTGGTTCGGGAGGTGATTTGAAACAACTTTTTCCTTAGCGAAAATGTTGTCCGGAAAACACTGGCCAATCAGAGCGCGAGTATGCCGGTGGAGCGTAGGCTGCGCGATAAGCGGCCGCGCCCATACGCTATCGCGATCGCTCCAACGGTCTACGCGCGCTCTGATTGGTCAGTGTTTTCCGGACAACATTTTCGCTAAGGAAAAAGTTGTTTCAAATCACCTCCCGAACCACCTCTTTCAAGGTGTTACAACATTTTTGGGACACTCTGTATATTGTTTTAATCGCTCCCTAACTCGAAATTTGGTGTGTAGGAAAACATTATTTTATTTTATTTTGTCCAGTAACGAAAAAGACTATTCAACGCTATTGTAAACACGCGATATGTACGTTAGGTTCATCTTTGTTCCGGTGTAACGTATCGAAACGTAGCGTACGTACACAATGATGTAACAACGCATGGATGCGCTAGTAAGCTAGTATCCACTGTGACACGTTGAAATATAATTAGTAGTTTTCGTAACGCGACACACAAAACTGGTCTAGGTTTTGTTTTAACGAGCCACCGTATACAGGGTGTGAATAAACAAACGAATATATTTGTCAAGGTTATTGATATTTTTTTGACTCGAAGATCGATGTATCGTCGCGTTTGGAATAATCACGGTTACCTCGAATTCTCGCAAAGTATAATTTAAAAAAACAATGTTTGCTTATCAGAATAATTGCTACTCGAAACGAGCAATCTCGTCTCTCAAGTTTCTTTCATATCTTCAATAGAACTAAAGATATTCTAGATTCTCGCGATAAAAAGAACACCATGTACATTCATAATCGATTGAAATATCGAACCTGTGTATCAGTAGTGTCGTTTCGTGCCGCTTCCTTTGTACCATATAAAGAGATCGCGCCCTTTTGTAGAAGTACGATCCCAACGATACTCCAAATAGTCAGTTGAAAGCCGATTATCAATTTCGGGGACCACCTATTCGCTTTCGTGCTGAACGACATTTTAAAAAAAAAAATGCCGCACGTTTGGTAGCCCGTCTACGTCTCAATCACATCGAACACAAAACAATCTATTAAGGATAAACATGATTTTAAAGTAATGCAACCACGTCGAAGGAAACGAAAATTATTTAACCATGAACTTACATCAGGTTCCGTTTTTTTTTAAACCCTGTCTGTACATAGACTTTGAAAGACTGAAGTAACTGTAATACTCGTCGACATTGAAAAGGAAAAAAATTCAAGTATCTCTCTGACTTTATCCTTGAAACTCCTTGGGGTCCTCGAAAGATTTATCGGCACGATAATTAACGAATACAGAGCAAAAGGTGTTCGCTGGACGTTACGAACGGACAGAGACAGCAAGGAGTAATAACGACAAATTAAAGTCAAAGTAGATACGCATAACGTCGTTCCAATACCCGTTCCCTTGTTCGCGCTTCTACTTTCGCTCCCAGTAAATATGGCAACGCCTAGACGGTCGATTATTGATATCTAAAGAAAGAACCAGTCGTTAACGTAACTCAATACTCGCCCCAGCCTCCGTGTTATCGATAGAACCGTCCATAAATCGCTATTCTAAGTTTGTCGCGTTCGTGGATTCCGCAGATCCGCGTGTTTAGTGGTAGACGCGATCGTTACGATAAGCTTCTTTTTTTTTTTCTTTTACCTTTTTTAGTGTCACGTTTCTCCTTTTACGGACGCACTGTGTGTCGAAACGCTGTCAATCAATATCGATCGGCGCACGAACACATCGACACGTTGGATACATATCAGAAACGATATTTCTACCGATCGATCGTAACTGTTCCCTTGGCCGCGCACACGACCGTTCGATCGGCTAATGGTTCGGTCAGTTTGTCATCGACGAATAAGTCATACGTCACACGCAACACATAGCTGGTCACGTCTCGTGGATCGTGCCGCTTGTTTGTGCTCACTCTCGGCTTCGCTCGCGGTCACGTGTTTCTTTTAATTCCTCGTACTTTGGCGAATCTTACAATTAAACCTTCTGCCTGCTACAAAATCTATGTTGCATCTAGATCTTCGATCTACGTGTTCGCCTTTTTCACCGTTAAAAATCATGTCGGTCGTAATGGATACGTTCACCTGCGCGTGTGTTTATTTCAGACTCTCACGAACGATGCACGCCGCACAGACAGTACTGGTCAATTAGGCGTTCTATCGTTGTTGCGATGTTATTTACCTGGCGTTTTTCGCGTGACGACTCGTTCGCGAAAAAATTATTGAAAACACAATCGAGTTTGGAAAATGATAGAACGATACCGTGGATTCGAGTGTGCATTTCGTACGTGCACTAATAAGGACTCGTATCGCGCGTTTGCACGAAAGACGTTGACAGAATTTATATTAACGATGGGGAGTCTTATCGATATACGTATGTGTGTATGCGAGAAAATACCTGATTATTCCTGGGTTTCTGCTTGGAAATTCCTAAGACGAAAAATATTAGGCAATAAAATAGATTGCATAATATGCTAAATTTGAATAGAAATCTCGATCGTTTATTAATACAATTTTTCTCCTTGTTGAATGTATTTTGTACGTAGAGGATTATGTTGGATATTTTCAGAGATGGAAGACGATTCTAAGGACGATCTAATCCGTGATAACTAATATGTACTTTGATACAAAGATAGGCAAAATTCTTATCTAGATATAAGTTCTCGAAATAACGAGTCAAAGATATACAACATTTAATCTGTTATTTATTCAACAAAAATTGAGTCCAAAATCGTAAAATGAATTGTAAAAAGCTTATCTAAACAGTGATACGCCATTCTACAAGGTCTCGAGAAGAAATTATTAAACGTTTTTCGAAACCATTAGCAACATATCAAATCAATTAATTTCCTAATCTATAAAATGAAATAAATCTGTGAAGATCGAAATAAGATTACATTATTCAGAATCCAAAATCTGAGGAACAAAATAAGCTTACATCGCATTACAACATAACCTAACATAACATGCTGACCGATAAACTTGTTTGCATTTAATAATCGAGACTATGAGAAATTACATATATATTTTAATCCAGCTGTAAGAAATAAATCGTAATATTTCTCCATTTGTCATTTATTTTTTATTCGAATAAAATTTTACTCGTCTTGGATTTACTCTATCGGTAATTTCGTAACAACGCTATCTATTGGATGCCAAGTCTTAATTGTTACGTATTATTATGATTGATGAATTTTGGATAGTTCATTGCGAGTTCAAAGTAAAACTCGGTGTTCAGTAAATTTAGAATGAAAGTTATTTATAGTCACTAAGTAGATGTGTATTTACATATAGATGCAGGTACACATTTAGACAAAGTAAACGTATGAGGCAAGAATAAACATCGAGTTTGTGGATAATTGATGCTTCATCTCGACGAAAACGTGGTTATCTTTCACAGACTTGGGTGAAAGGTATTTTATTTATACAATTTATTATATAGTTGTCAAAGAAGGTAACATATACGTAGTAGACGTGATAGAATCGAATCAAACGGCATTCAATATGCAAGACCGTGGAGAATTCAAACTCGTAACTTATCGAAAAAAACGTCTTCTTTGCGTTCGAAATAGTCATAATGCACATGTACCTTTACCTGATGACAATGATAACGATAGCGGCAATACCAGTTGCGAGGCACTTTTTGGGTAAGACACTCCTCGTTTTTCAAAACTATATATCGAGAGTTTTCTAGGTGTGAATATACGTACTCTTTCGTTCTTCCATTTCAAATTGTTAGGTTCATTTGTTCCTAACTTCTCAATACTTTACTCCAATTTTCAGGAAGCTCCTCGAGGCAGAGACCGAATTAAGAAATTCGTCATTCGGTGATGATATATTTCATTCATTGAAAGATTCATTGAGTGCTTTAAACATTGATGGTATTTCTGAGATACTGTGTTATGGTTTGGGTTCTTTCTCTTGTCGCAGGTCTTCTAAGTATCAGTTGGCTTTACTTCTGTCTTTGAAGAACCATTATGGTTCTCGAGTACATATATACGATCCAGTTTTTACTCCTAAAGAGATTCAGCTTCTAGAGAGATTTGACTTTAATGTTATAAAAATTAATGAGGAAGGCAAGAGAATCATTGAGGATAATGTAACATTGGTGTACATGCCGCACTGTTCAGTACATTTGACTAATAATTTCCTTTACGCAAATTGGAGTAAAATATTAACCAAATGCATCCTTCTGACGAATAGCTTCTCAGCTATCGAAGATCATTCAAAGTTTAGAAACTATATGCTTATGCCTATCGACTACATTTTGCGTATTCGACCGTACGTTACAGAAATTGCTTTGAAAAATAATTTCACCTATGAGGAAGTATTCCATGACTTAAATATTCATATATTTCTCGAACGAGATATCGTTACGGTACCTAGGGATTTTTGGAGCGAAAGAGAGGAACCTTCTTACGGAGACGCGACAATCGATTATTTCACTGCTAAACAAACGGAACCAGTAGACGTTAAGAATCGTAATTATATTTCTAGATTTTTACTTAATAGATCCTCAATGTATCAGAATACATTGCGTCGCACGAATTGTGCCAAATTTGTATGCAAATGATTAATAGATAATAGTAATACGATTTTGTCTGTTGTAGGTCCGAACGAGGATGAAACCTAACATACACTTGATTCGCTCGCTTATAAGGGAAATCCGTCAAACATCCGCTGAACGGAACGCAAAGGATAATAGTATGGTGCGTTACATCCTGGAGCAATCACGAGCTCACAGAGAAACTTCTGAAGTTCTATGTAAAGCACGAGAAGAATTGGAAAACTTGGCAAAGACGTACCTATGTTACTTGAATTCTCGACGAATGTGCAAAGAGATCCAAGTTCGATACACTGGTAAAGGTGAACGAAGTATCAAAGACACTGCAGATCTCGTTGGATTTAAATTACCTCATGATCCAAAGTAATCTTGGTTTAAAGTAATAATATTGATTTAATGAAGTTTTTATGAAGTCTTTATGAAAAAGTAGAAAAATATAATGTATTGAATGAAATACAAAATAAAGCTCTCGCGATAAGATTATCAAATTTTACGTGTATTCTTTACGAATACATTTGGCAATCGTTGATAGTTGCATGTTGCTGGTTCCTTCGTAAATAGTACCAATCTTGCAATCCCTGAAGAATTTCTCTTGAGGGAAGTCAGTTGTATATCCTACACCGCCCATGAAATCGATGCATTTCGCGGTGACGCGTAGGGCCGTTTCTAAGTTGGAATGTTTATGAATCGTACATGTTACTATTAAAAGAAAAAAAGAATAATTTTTTGGGAAAGGTATTACTTACCTGAAGCTACGAGTTTGGCCATGGCAGCCTCCTTCATAATATCCTTCTTAGCGTCGACTAATCTGGCTGCGTTGTAGACCAATAACCTGGCACATTCAAGCTCGGTGACCACTTGGGCAATTTGGTGTTGCATTGACTAAAAAAACACGAAACGTTTCGAAGACTGCAAGAAAAGACTGAAGAGAAGATATAGATTATTCGTCATACTTGAAACGAAAAGATATCCTTCCCGAATTGTTTTCTTTCCAACGTGTACGGTATAGTGGCGTCCAAGCAACCTTGCGCTATGCCAATCATTTGAGCTCCGATACCGACTCGTCCTTCGTTTAAGAATCCAGCAGCGTATTTGTATCCATGGCCAAACTTACCCAAGATATTACTCTCTGGAATCTGGGTACACGACGACAACAGTTTATTATTAACGAGTTAGGAGTTCGTTGGAAGTATTATTAGCAGCCAAGAAGAACCAAGAGTACCATTCAGAGGTATTCTTCTCAGCTGCCACTGATACGTGTAGATTGTTCTCTTTACTCTAACGTTATCGAAGTTGACCATGCAGGTACCCGACGCCTTTATTCCCAGCTTATCCTCTGGCTTGCCCACCGTCAGTCCAGGCGTGTCTCGGTCCACGAAAAATGTTGTGATACCTCGGTATCCCTAATAATTGAAATGTATAAAAATATAACAGTGTGATTTTACTGTAGGTCTACTAGAAGAAAAGAACTCACAACAGACGGGTCTGCGTTCGCAAACACTAAAAATAAGCCAGCAATGTCCGAATTCGAGATCCACATTTTCGTGCCGTTTATTACAAAGTCGGATCCATCCTTCTTTGCTACAGTTTTCAGAGAAAACGCATCCGATCCCGAGCCAGGCTCCGTGAGGCAAAAGCTACCCGCCTGGAGGAGGACCAATGATATGAAAAAGAAATAGAAACGGTATACACGCACGCTGTTATTTATTCATCTCAACTTACGTAATCTTGAGCTAATCGCGGCAGATATTTCGCTTTCTGTTCCTCCGTGGCCACTTTTGAAATCAACGAATTCACCAGAGTGTTGTGGATGTCGACTAGGGCCGCAACAGCCCCGTCAGCTTTCGCCACTTCTTCGACTGCTAAAATCGTCGCCATGAAATTGAATCCAGACCCACCATACTTTTCAGGAATCTCGATGCCCATTAACTGGCGGTAATCAACTATTTATTAAAACTCATTCTAGTCTTAAGACAGACTATCTATTCATATAACGTTTTCTGATTTTATTTATACCAATATGATACTGTTTTCTTATAATATTATTGAACACACTTGAAAATGTTATATGAAATATAGATGAAGTTTGAAGTAAGATTGATATTGAAATTTTACACCAGAGCAATCGGGGTAATCAATTATATCTGTTTACGCACATACGCGGAGCAATGCAATGACGCGTTCGAGCAAAATGTTTTCACATAAATATTGTAGAAGATATGGATGATCATGCTATTTACTTACACCACTTTCAAAAAGCTTTCGTACCAGACCATCGTCTATCTTGCCTTCCTTTTCCATTTTTCGCACGATTGGCGTAATTTCCTCCTTTGCCAATTTACTGACTAAGAGACAATGCGAAATTAAAAAAAAAAAAATAAGATAATGATTGATAAAGGAGTAGGTACGAAAAATCAAGATCGATTTACTGGATGATAAACCGACTAATTTCAATAATGATAATTACCAGTTTCCTTCATCATGAGTTCGTCATCTGAAAATTCTGTTAGAGGTGCGGAACAGACATTGAATCGCGACGCACTCGTCCCCAGATTCCTTTTTTCGTAAAGCGTTCGTGGTATCTAAACGAAACAGATTTAATTATTCTAATTAGCCTGAAGCAGTTAGTTTTATCAGCGATTGTAATCGGCATCGGCGCTAATAGGATCTCCTGCGAATATGCGATTCGGCTACCGATAACCGTTATTTCATTACAGTGTTCGCATTTACAAGCTACCTCACCTAACGACGCTGTTAAAGACTCCTGTTTTCCTATTTGCATCGACGTTATCGAAATCTTTTGATCTAAACTAACACTAAGTAGCGCTAGGAGAGGTCAAGTGCTTGCAACAAAAATATGGAATACGAGAAAAGAAATTCATGTTTACAAAGAGGCCACGTGTGCTGCATTGAGAAATATCTAATTGAAATTTCAGTAAACTGGTGACGTGCGTAGTGGAAGTGGGACATGCAAAGCAAAGACGGGCAAAATTCTTATCTAGATAAAAATGTCGGATAACGAACAAGTGATAAAGAATAGTTCATACTCGTCGAAGGAAAATTAAAGTGAACATCATGAATACGTTGGTCTACGTTTGTTTTGCTCGTTATCTATTATTCGAATAAATGTTATTTTTATTTATTTAACTTATAAAATTTTAATAAAGAGAAGAAATTCAGAAGTATGCAATAAGTTGTAACGAGACGATAAAAGTAATGAACATGCGATAAACGCACGTAAGATACAATGTTAAACCTACATTTTATTCGAGATTATTTTAGACTGGAATGTAATCTTAATACACAGCGACGTTATTTACGACCAATCATTTTCCCTTCGCGAATCAATTTACTTAACACTCGTTGCAGCAATAACGAGTATCAATCAATCTCGTTTGTACAGCTTGTTCCACGTTATATGCACGTATTCGGTTTGACTAAACTTTAGAACGTTAAACATCATTTCGAACATATTTGTGTTGAAAGTCAGATACATTTGCTCGGACATCTATTTGTTCATTATCGCTCAAGGTTCACCGAAAGAAAGCTGATTCTAGTCAGCGTCAGCGTTAATATGACCTTTCCTCGTGAATAGGTGTACTTTTCCTACTTACAACGGTTGTTTCGTTAACATTTGAATAATTTACGTGCCACGTCATCTATTAAAAAAAAAAAAAAAAAAAATTATAACTTTGCAACTTTGCTATATATGTTCCAATCCGTTAAAATGGCTGGAAAAACAACGTGAAATATTCAACTTTTTATTTGCAACATTTCACTACGATTTTATATTTTAATTGTGGCAATCGAGGCCATTGATTCCATGTGACATGATTTATCGTACTCCATAGAAAGCCAAACGATAAGAATTTCACAATATTGACAGGCAGAAAAGAAAAGCAGAAAAACAGGTTGTTTAGATTTACGCGTAGCATTAGATTCTATAACGTTAGATATTGTGATATATAATTATGAAATCAGGTGAAAGTTCGTGAGAAAGAAGTGAAGTGTTCATGCATACGTACTTGTCGTATTAGCGGCGAAAACAAATTCGTGTTTAGTTTAAAATTCATGTTCGAGATATAGATCGGTCCCGACGAGATCTTTCGATATGTTTGTACCAACGATGAAGGGAACGCCGACCCAGCTTTGACGAGCCCCGAAGAAAGTGGAGAACGATGTTGTCTAGTTCAAAGCTAAACAATTACTGACGGGGATCGTAATGTTTTGGACAACGGATACCGCTCTAAACTCCGTCTACAGTTGAGTCTGCACGAGCGTCGAACAGGTTCTTATGTAATAAAAGAAAAAACGATTTCTGATTTATCAGTGAACCCGTTTCGATGACACGACTTACGCAAACACTTGATTCCGATACAAACTGAACAACATTAGTGCACACATAGTTGGACGAAAATGCCACAGCTTAGCGAGTATGTTCTCGTATATATGTACATATAATATATGCTAACGATTCTACAAAAACGCGCGAGTGTAGTGAGAAATTCCTTTATCGTCGAAACGAGAGTTGCGCTTACGTAAAATTATTCTTTCGTTGCAGGGTTTATCCGTTCTAACGAAAATTTTTTTAGTTTGTTTATCAAATATTCCCCCCCTTTCTTTATACATTTCGGAGAAGAGGGAATTTATCGTCACGCGTTATCGCCGTCTATTGTCTCTTTTTGAGATATTATTCTGCCTCCCGTACGCGTCGTTATCCCTATTATGGATGTAAGTTACTCGACGTGGACCTAAACGTCGCTTTCTAATATTAATCTTGTCACACGTCGTTGATTCATCCTCGTTAAAAATACAAACAGCGTCGCGATTCGGAAACAGATTCAGGCTGGAGTAACGTGAACTGATTTTCCATTGATATGCGAATTGTTGCTACTTTTTTGTGACATTATTCAAAGTTACATGACGACCGTGTGTACCGTTGAAAAATAATTTTATTTCTTCTAAGAGGTCATTTTTTTAAGTTTTCGTGATTTTTAGATGTAAATTTATTGTAAATAGTTTCTTTTTATTCTGAGTATAACCTTTCAATGTTACTGAACAATGGTGTCCGATTGGTGTTCGCGTCGTTCATATGTAGTAGTTAACCTTTTATTTTTTTGCGACCCCCTTCCCATATTCTCAAGCAAAATGCATAGAATGTACGTTTAATGTGAAATTGTGATGTCATCTCGACGCTGTACATGAAATTTTAGTATAAGATTATATTAGATAATTTGTGAAAAATATTACGTGTGTAGAAAATAGACATACTTAATACTTAATTACAATACTTAATGTTAACTTTGAAATTAGTCTATTTAGTTCACGTTAGATGTCATACTAAAGGGAACGCTGAACTTTCTTTGTGTTCCTAGTTCTAATAGTCCCGCTTCAAATATGTATTTCGTAAGGTCATATCAACAAAAGCGGTTTTCGTATCGTACGTAACGCGTTATTGGCTGCTCGAGAGCGAGTGCTTCCATTGGTCGACGAGTTTAAGACACAGCCAACCGAAACAAAGCATTTTCGAGAATCGATCTCTCGTTAGGGTTGCCCATGAAGTTCCATGAATCGGATGCGCAACGGTATTGTGCGCACGTTCCGCGTGCTCGACGTGGAATTGGGTGAAGAAAAAGAACAGGAAACGTAGACTAGGACGGAAAGGAAGAAAGGGACGAAACGGTGTGTAACGGGTAACGAAAACATCAGTCCACCATCCACGAAAGATTGATCCTCGTACGTGACGTAAAAAGGCCGATCGAGCATGGAAATTCGCACCTATACGGATACGATTCGAGAAAAATATAAAACGATAGGTTAATCGGTGGCTCCGAGATAACACGGCGAAGACGCGTAGTTCGATACAGAGATGGGCAAAATTTCACTCGAATAATAGATGACGAATAAAATCAACGCGTAAAGATTGAATCGATCAATTTTTATTCATTCATCGCGATATAAATCGTTCTTTAATTCAGAATTGTCATTTTCCGTCGACGAAGAAAATACTGAGGACACTTGCTTATCTCTTTAGATTAGTCGTTTGAAATTTGTATCTAGATAACAATTTTGCCCATCTCTGGGCTTCGAAGTGGGAACGACAAAAGGTAGAGAAGAGGAGGTGGAAGTGGAAGTGGAGGTGGTAGGAGTAGTGCTAGTGGTGGTGGTATATACTACGGGAGAACCAGGAGGTGGAGAAGGCTTGCCAGCCGCCGGAAGAGCATCGACGGCGACGGGGGTGGGGAAGCTGTCCACCGAACGGAACGACCGCTCGGCGATACGAACGGCGAGTCGAACGGTTTCCCAAACGGATACGGACATACCAACCTTCGACGATATTCGCCGATTTTCTGCCTAGGTAAGTTTTTACAAGTCACGACGTAAGCTGTGTCGATCGCGAATCGTTTCGAGACTCGCGACGCCGTCAGGACGCGAGAGAACGGCAGTTCCAAATAACTGACAGGAATGACGTAGCGTAAGGGGTGTGTCGTCGATTAGGCGGCAATCTTTGATGCTATTTCTGTGTGTCGTTAAACGCTTCTGGACGATCTTTGATCGCCGATTACCGAGCATCTCATTTACATTCGACCGTCGACCATCGCGTGAATCTATATAGAAAGTGATTGTCAAGATACTTGTTGTGATAGTTACGCCATCGAAAACCATCGCTCCTTCCGTCGCTGTATCGCCATTTGCATTGTTAAATCGTTGACCTTCTTTTCCTCCTGTTTTCCCCCTGAAAGATAGAAAGCTCTTCCGATACCGAGAAGCTCGTTCCGAACGCAAAAGTGACGCCATTCCGTCGTTTCGCTCTTCCGATCGCGATAATTTCCTGTCGGGGCTCGTCGTGCACCGGTGAAAGCTCTCAACGAAAACAAAAATTCTGTTGATTCCTCGTAGATATAAATCTTGAGAAACTGTGTTACTCGTACGTTATCTGTGCGCTGCCAACGACGATAAGCAACAGTGCCTAGGGACTTGTAAACGAAACGCGTGCGTTTCTTCTGTGTACGCGGTTTAATCGATCCGTTAAGAATATTCTCCATTGAAACTAACGAATGGTTGTAACGTTGTAAGAAGTATACGAGTCCAACTAGTACATTGGCAAAGCTCGAGGTATGATCAAAATAAAAGTGAACTTCGTTTCGTAATGATCGATGCGTGTGCGTACATCGAATACTTTTACATTTATCCGTCAGTGGTTAGTAAATCGATACATCTAAACTCCGGTCATTTGGGCGTATTCGCACGAATAACCGTATACTGAGTTCGTCTCGACGTCCTTATGATCGTCGTTACTTCGTTAACGTGTACACAATGCAGATACTACATACATATATAGGTGGATGCGTACATGTTGCGTTGCCGCAACCAGCGACATGAAAATTCGTATTGTTTCCGATTTTCCCGCGAAAAAATGTACAGCGAATCCGGGGAATACAACTGCCATCAAAAAATAATTTCTTATGAATTTTTATGCAACGAACCAATCTTCACTGAAAATAACCTCAAAAATAGAAGAGGACTATTGTTATTAATGATCGGTCCTGACACTAACTCGATCAAATCGGATTAAAAGTATAAAACATATTGAGATTTCAGAGGGAAGGAAACAAATTATTAACCCCATTCACTCCCTTCTGGAATCTCAATATCATAAATGTAAATTTGATGGTAGAACAAATTATTTTTTGATGTCTGCGATATTTTCCAGCTGTAATTTAGCAAGTGGATGCGCCAAGCAAGTGCACATCTCCCAGCAATGAACTTGTCTGCCTTCTCTTCTTCTTGCGACAACTCTAGACCGCCCGCGCGCAATCTGTCGTCTCTGTCTCTTGGAAATAAACTGGCTACTCTCTCAGGTTTCGATTCTATAGAAGGCACGCCGTTCACCTGTGTGTGCAGTGGTCGGTTTATCTTCCCGGCTTCCTCCACCGATCTCGATCCGCGACGTTTGGCGTCGATTTACCGATATCGCGTTTCCAAGCATTTTCTTACTCGGTATTGAACAGTTAGTTCGAAACGTCTTCTTCCTACCGATGACATATCACCTATTTAACCTAACGAGTACCCGTGTTAGCAGCGATACCGTACGCGACACGAATCCAACGATAGGGACGCTTCTACTTATAATTAATCACGACAATTTAGCAGTTTTAAACTTGGCATCATCGGTAATAAGACTGCCTAGTTTACCACTACATCACAGGTCTCAAACCATCTAATTAGATTCATAGATAGTTCGATATTTTTCTAGTTTCTTTTTCTAGTTACTTTTTTTTCATAACATACACCACGCCGATATTTTCTAGAGTTGTTCAATGTCTATCAATAGTTTTTAACTCGAACGTTATTAGGTGCTAGTTTAAAATTACCTAATCATTGACCTGGATACAAGTATAATTATTCCCGCGTTCCTTTAACGATTGTTTACCAACGAGAAGCTAGAGAAAGGTGCACGTTTCCCTCGTAGTAAAAACGAGGCAACCGTGCCTCATCGGCCGAACGTGGTACCACCCAACGAACCACGATAGAGTAAGCTTTGCGTTTTAAGTTATGACATCATCGCGTCGAGAAACAGCGGACGCGTCGCATTAAGTATCTCCGCGCCGCTATACGTGTTGGGTCCATTATCTTGGTATTTAAACACGATATCGAATCGTTTTTTTTTTACCTCGTATTAACCATTCTTTATTACACAACAGAAACGTCCACCTCTGTTATACATATTTTATTTTAATTCATTCTATCGAGCCGGCACCATTTGAATCCTTGACAAGGTCACATTGAATTTCAGATGCAACATCGATGATCTATCGGAACATGCTATAGAGTAAATTTCGGATGTTTTCACGAGATGGTGTGCGTAAATACGTAAGTGATCGTAACTACCGTTCAATTGGTGTTCGCTGTTAAATAACGTTGATGAACACCAATTGACGGACTGGCACTATTTAGTCACGGCGAATTACGTATTCGATGAGACGGTGGTAGTTGTAACGAAGCCAAAAAGAATTTTTTTTTTTTTTTTTTTTTTTTTTTTTTTTTTTAAATCGTTGATGCATATAGTAATAGAAATTTGAATAAAAATTCTTCAATAAGAACGGATGATGGTACAAGTAGGATTCATTCGAAATCATTCGCGTAAATCAGTCGCGGTGGAAGGTGCAGAAAAGAAATGGCCGCGAACCGAAAAAGTGTATCGATCGTTACGCTCGACTCGAAGTCGCAGAGTACTATCTGTGTACTTTTCTTAATACACGACCTGGCATTTAAACTATTTCGAAATATAAAGGAAAGGTATCTAGAAGAGATTGTTTTTGTCTTACGATTTCTTCTATATGATTGTATTTATATTCTAGTGTAGATATACGTATATCTGAAGATGACTCGTATAGAAAGAGTCGAAACGTTTTAAAGCGAGACACTCTCGGATATATTTCTGGGATTTTAGCTTGGGAAAATCAATAAGAAACGAACGTCCACAATTCTCGAGAATTGTATATTTATTTTAAGACCGACAAATGATGAACTCGATCGGATTAAAATTATTTCAAGTTTGCGCGGTTTCGTCGGAAACGCGTCCCGGAAATTCGTTGGCCGTGCATCGTGACGTCATCCTAAAAACTTGTCGCGCCACTCGATCAATAAATTTCAGCGAATCTGCTTCTACTCGTTTCTTGATATGATAAATTAGCAGGTCGCTGTGATTTTCGTCGAGGAACCGGTTGTAAATTCGAAATTAGAATACTAATCGTATTAAGAGGCGAGGTTAGGCGATAAAGGAACAGTTTAATTCGCTAATTATATAATTTATGAATTCACGTTTGGCGAACAAAAAAAAAAAAGGATCGATACGATGCATAATTGATCGTTAAAATGTCTGGTGGGTTCGTTTATATTCTAATTGGTCGAGCGTCGGATCGATTCCCAGGATTGAAAACGGTTTTCATGAAACGAAAGTGGCGCCAAACGATTTCTCTTTCTTTTGTAATTACGCGTACAATGGAACCGTTGATTCGACGAAAGTAATAAAACCGACGAAGGAGAAATCTCATAATTCACGATTGTGCGCTCGAATCGATGCTTGAAGTGATTTCTTTACGATATCTTTCTAGCATTTTAGATTAGGATTCACGGAAGATGGGGGTTCTAGTTAAACGTACGCTTTCAAGTCGAACGCCATTAGGCGCGGTTATCACGAGCACAAATGTGTCAATGTCGAGCGTCTAACGACGAGAAAACCAGTGCAATTTACCGTTTCTGTTCCGCGATGGTAGTGAGCATCGTAGTAACAAACACCACCAAGCACACCTTCGTTTGTTTTCGCGTGGACTGTCGCAGAAAATAGGGTTAGGATTACGGGAGGTTTTATCAGGTTTTACGGTCTTCTTCTTGCACGCATAGAACGTTATAACCCTTTCTATTCACCGTTATGTCGTCCTCGATACACAGTTATTTCAATATCCTTATTGTATTTTCCATTGTACGGTTTATGGATTATTCCTTAATTTACAACACTGCTTGTGGTAGTCATATTCAAAGCAATTTTTTTTAGAATAGAGAAAATCCTAGAATACGAACCTGAAATTTGCTGATACTGTTTGGAAACAAAATTAACAATATCGGCAAACTTAAAGAAAAAAAATAATATTCGCTCCTGGACAATCATAGCATTGCGATAATATTTTGTGATACTCTATGTTTGTAATCTGCGATGATATTTCGTAATATTTCAAACTTTACTGCACCGTAGCATTAAAGTTCTGATGAAGGTGAAAATGTTGGGCCACGTCGCGATGAAAGGGCGAGATTCTGTTTCGAACCTAACCCTAAAATTCGTAGAAGAGAAAACAAGTTGTTGAATGGGCTTGTTTTCGTCCTTCCAGAAAGGGATACAACAGAAAGATACAGGGAATGTGAAACGGGGGGCGGAGAGACGAAAACGTAAGGCGAGAAGTGAGCGTGGTATAAATAAGCGCGGTAAGAATTTGAGAAAAAGACTGGTACGATTTCAGCCGCTCTAGGGATTCTTGTCGCCAGTCACCCCTGCTGTCTACGCATTCGACGCCCGTTACACTTGACTGTTACCCGCGAGTTTATTGATCGTTCGCTGACTTCTGCCGGTTTTCCTGCGTTCTTTGCCTTCTATCAATCGTCGAAACACGGAAAGATGGAAGGGTTCGCAGAGTCGTCGAGTTTACGTATGAAAAGATGGCGGACTGGTCGAATTCGAAACCCCTAGGCTTTGAATAAATCATAAGTTTCTTCAATCGAAAACTATTTGTAAACCTATAATGTAAAACCTATTTGTAAAGAGTAAAAGCCAGATAGGTTTTGCTTAGAACCTAACCTTACTTATTTTTTTTAACCTTACCTACCATGCAAAAGTTCGATAACCTAAGCAAACCCCTGATTTCTTCACCTAATACCTCACACTTTTCGTATCTTATTTAACGACTTTATCGCACCTCGAATGCAGATAAAGTAAAATACAAACACCACCTGCTACGTCTTTGCGAAAGGGTGAAGTTTCAGCATCTGGTGTTTGTACAACCTAACCTCAATTTGCTTTGCAACTTTATTCGTTGCATTTTATTCGACACGAATTCAATATAAACGTTGACTCCACCACTGCGAAGAAGTGAAGTTCAACGTCTGTAGTTGTACGATCCAACCTTTATTTTTTTCGCGGAATATAGTCAGTTTGTAGCATTAATAGGGGAACGAAATTTGTTTTAGTCGGTATCCAGCGAAGAAGAGGGAAGGAGGAGGAGGGGCAGGAGGAGGCGGTGGTGGTGGCGGTGGTGGAGGTGGCGGCGGCGGCAACGACGGCGTCGGTGGTTGAAAAAGTGGAGGAGGAGGAGGAAGAAGGGAGAGTAACAGCGAAAAATAATATAAAATAAGGGGGAAAGAAGGGATAAATTCAAGGAAATAGTAGGAGAGCAAACTCGTTAAGGATGGCGGACACGAGTGAACAGCAAACGTTGTCCGAGCCACACACGAACGGAGTAATGGACGGTTTGACGGAAGAGGAGAAAAGTAAAATGAGGCCTGCCGACATCGACGCGGTGAGATACCAAAATCAATTCGTTGTATTTAATTCGCGAAGGAACGCACTGAAATTGCATTTTAAAAATTGCATTCTTTTTCGGTAGGATATGAGAGAGATGGAGAGGAGAAAGAGAGTCGAGATGATGATGAATTCGAGACTCTTCCGAGAGGAATTAGAACGTATTATCGAGACACAGATGAAAGACGGTGCTGGGCCATCTGGCCTATTGCAGCAAATCTCGGACATGATGGGTGCGCAAGGTGCTCGGTTCAACGCAAACGTGTTCAAAAGTAAGTTGTTCCAGTTGAAATCAAACTACTGCAGTAGGTCTTAATATTTTTAAACTTACAGCTTCTCAGTTATCTTGGATTTGTCACGGTACGAATAATAGGTTTCTTCACAGATACGAATTGTGTATTACCTATCAACGACATACGCGGTGTCGAAAGCATGGGCTACGCGAAGGGAGAGAAACTGTTACGCTGCAAGTTAGCGGCGGTGTTCAGATTGCTAGATCTTTACGGTTGGACTCAAGGTGTCGGTGGGCAAGTCACAGCCCGCTTGAATCAGGATCAAGAACACTTTTTAATTAATCCGTACGGACTGCTTTACCATGAGGTCACCGCCTCGAGTTTGGTCAAAGTTGACATGCAAGGGGCGATCGTGGAACAGGGAACAACCAATTTCGGCGTTCACGTGACAGGATTTCAGTTGCATTCGACGATCCATGCTGCAAGGCCTGATATCAAGTGCATCGTTCATATTACCACTCCGTCCGTTACTGCTGTAAGTGGAAAACTCGATCGTTCTTCTTCTTGGATCTCTTATAAATTAATTGTTAATATATGAATTATATCCATCCATCCATTTGGCATTAACGTGACTAACCGTTTAGAAGGTTATTGCACGATGAATTATATATTAGCAAGTATTTGATAAAATTCTTTTTTTGCAGATCTCGTCGCTAAAATGCGGATTGTTGCCAATCGGACAAGAGAGTATAGTAATAGGGGAAGTGAGCACGCATCAGTACATAGGCGGATCCTTCGAACCGGAAGAGAAAGAGAAGATAGCTAGAAATCTTGGACCTGTGAACAAAGTGATGCTGTTGACGAATCGCGGCGCTCTCTGTTGCGGAGAGACCGTTGAGGAAGCGTTTTACAACGTTTACAACATGGTGATGGCCTGCGAGACGCAACTGAAGATGATGCCCGCCGGCCTTGAGAATTTAAATCTTATTTCCGAAGAATCGAAGAAAGCTATATTCGAGGCCTCGAGAAAACCCCCTACACCGCAGCACACGGCTCAGATCTCCGAAAGCTCGGCTCTCGCTGAAAAACTTGAGAAACGTTGGCGAATCGGCGGAACTGAATTCGAAGCGCTCATGCGGATGCTGGATAATGCTGTAAGTGTTTAAGATTCGCAGTGATTTATAGAGACAACAAGACATGACTGTTTTATAAATTGTGTAATTTTGATTGTTTATAGGGATTCCGTACGGGTTACATATACAGGAATCCGTTGGTGAAAGGAGATCCTCCGCGACCTCGAAATGACGTTGAAGTTCCACCAGCAGTTTCGTCTCTGGGGTATCTACTCGAGGAAGAGGAACTATATAAACAAGGGTAAATACATTTGTCCTGCAAAAATTATTTGTATCATCCGATAGAAGCTTTCAATCGTCTTTCTCTGTTTCTGTTATAGACTCTGGAAAGGTGGTCGCAAAGGCACTGACAGGTCACGTTGGCTGAACTCGCCCAATGTGTATCAGAAGGTCGAAATTCTCGAGACGGGAACTCCTGATCCGAAAAAAATTACAAAGGTAGAAGTTATCACTTTTGAGAATAAAACCGAATAGATGCAAGGAGGGAATATATATCATACGAAATTATATTGTACGTGAAACTAAAATTCGCGCGAGAGTTGAGCATCCTTGCGAATTATATTATCGAAAAGGAATAGTACATTTAAACAGTGTCGATGTCGGTGTCAATGTTCGTGAATATTTTACGTGCACATGTTGTTACATTAGAGATTTCTCGAAAGAGCTATTTATCAGAAAGTAACTTGTTGCGGCTAATTAAGATGAGAAGAGAGCGTACGTGCAATTTCCTATAAACATCGCTTTCCTTCATTAGAATAAGTAAGACGAGCATGTGTTCCAAATACTGATAAACGAATTCACCCTTTTTTACAAAGACTCGCAGATTTTTGGATGATTCGAATCCATCTGTTCGACTAGATTTCATCGATTTTGCTTGTTATCCGTGACACACACGCGCAGCGCAATTTTCATATTCTTGGTACATTCCAGTTTACAAGTAGTCCATTAGGAGATACGTTGCGAAAGCACGAACAAGGAAAGGGAGGAAGGGAGAGAGTGAGTGGGAGAGAGAGATATATATATATACATGAACGCAATGTATAAATTAAGGGTTCGAGGAACCCTGAACGATCGACTTGCGATTAGCACGAAATGTAATTCCGACTGAACGTGTCTCTACGATATCGCGTGTCGTTCGGCCAGTACTAAAAAATTATTGTCGCCGTTAATAGACTTTATCGCACCTCTCTCTTGTAGCTTCTTGATATTCAAATAAATATATGTCTACTGTTCATCGTGTATAGGTAATTTTTCTAATCTAATAAGACATCGACGAGGTAGTTCGTCCTGCAAATCTGCGATTCGATGAGCTCGAGTTCCGCGAGCAACGAAGTCGCACGCATTTTCATACGTCGTGCCTCGATGTTCCCCGAAAGATGAATACGAGATCAGACCTGGGCAAGATATATATGTAAAATGCCAAGTATATTCGTTATTTGAGGCTTTCACGACCCGATTCTCTATTGTTAATAGTATTTAAAATCTACTTAATTTATAAATGCCCAGACCTGCTCGAGATACACGATCGATTCTTAATCGGGTACTGTGTATGAATGTGTGCCTGTTAATCGTATCGTCGAAGCGACGAACGTTCGATTCTTCGTCCCACTGCATTTACAAAACCAGATCGATCGACCCTGTATAGAGGCGGAGAGAGAGACGGATAAAAAAACCCTCTCCAGAAATATTCGCGATCGATAGACACGGAAAACGTTTAATGACATGTTTCTCCTGATAAAAGGAAAAATAAATAAATGATCGAATAAATCCACGCTGGACGAAACCAGCCGAAGAACTCGAACTCTCGACGAACGATTCGAAAAAGTTGCAGCATCGAGCGCGTACGTACACCAAACGGTAACGGGGAACACGACGCCGATGTCATCGGCAGGGCAGGCACACATAGCATACGCAGACAATGCGAGAATCGATTATTACCGATGCTGTACCGGATGCTTGAATTATATCGAACCCGGGGGTCGAACTAACGTTCTGGTTTTGTGTGCAGTGGGTGTCTGACGGCTCTCCGACCCACAGCAGTACGCCGGTGAAGATCGACGGTGCTCTTCAATTCGTACCGAAGAATACCAATCCAAAGGAGTTTAAACAATTACAGCAACAGGTAAGTACATCAACAATCTGTAAGTATCTCTCTGTCAGTCCTGTGTCAGTTCTTAAACGTATAATAACAACCTCCTAAGATTGAATAATTAAATACGTGAACCACATCGTAAAATCAATAATCATCCTGCACAAAGATATACAGAATTGGTAAACAGTTTTAATTATAACGCACGTACGAATCTACCCTTTCTCTTTTGTCAGATCAAAGATTACCGTAGGGCAGACAAGATATCAGCTGGACCACAATCTCACATATTGGAGGGTGTTACGTGGGAAGAAGCTAAGAAAATGCAGGTAACGTTATATAGTCATTATTTGTGCTCTCATTTATTCTCATTCCACTTGAGATTACACTGTATCTTCGATGAAAGCAATTAACAAAATCATTCCTTTGTATATGCACAAAAGGATGCCACCATCAGCGGAACTGGAGAGCAAGTAGTATTGGTAGGGGCGGCCAGCAAAGGTATTATTCAACGTGGCTTTCAGCACAATGCGATGGTCTACAAAACTCCATACGCCAAAAATCCATTCGATGCCGTTACCGATCAGGAACTCGACCAATATAAAAAAGATGTGGAACGTAAACAGAAAGGGGATCCATGTAAGTGATCAAATAAATTGAATGTAATCAAGAAACATACTTGATTGAATATACATGTATCTCTAATTTCTTTTTTCTTCTTTAAGACGACGAGTCGCAGTCTGAATCGGAGGCATTGTCATCCTTCAACGCTAGCCGCACAACTCATGAATCGAGCACTGCCAAAAGTCCGATTCAATCACCGGTATCGATAACTTCGGAGGCGGAAGAAGAAAGCAGAGACGGTAATTAAGCATTCCTCGAACTATAAGTGCTAGAAACTAAAATACAAATTTTAATCTGTTTTAATATCCTACGATCTTTGACCACTTTCAGAACCCCGAGTACTGCGAATAGAAACGAAACAAGTGCCTGCACCGAGTCAACCCGAAGTTGTGTTGAGCGACGGTAAGTTTACTTTGATAACGTTTATCTATCGGCTTGAACAACTGCTCGCTTTCTCAAGGGTAAGCTATCATTGAGAACGAGCAAGGGAATGTGGTACGTATGTTGGACGCAAGCCAGATGGAAAGCCTTGATCGTGCTGTCTTTTGTTTTTCTTGTTCCCGTTTTCTTTTCGTTTTCCATTTAACTTTTAAGTTCCTCGTAATTAACGACCAAGGCTTGTACCAAAGATGGAGGAAATTTTATTCGAGTGTTACATGATTACATAGATGACAGTTATTTCATCCATTTTTGGTTTGTTACCATAAGCATGAGAACATCTTCAACCCGCTCCGTTTGCGTTTGCTCTTTAATTTCATTCACTACCATTAATTCCCTTTTTGTTTATGATCACTAACGCTTGCACCGTGCACGTCTGCACATTCGCATATCCGCATGTTTATAAATTTCACGTTTTCTTTGGACTTTTGGCTCTAATTAATATCCCTTTCTTCTTCTACTTACTCATTTTTTTTTATCACGCACGTCAAAAATGCATCGCACCACGCATTTTTTTTTTTTTATTCATTTACGAATCGTCGTCGCCATCCGAATTACCATATAGAATGTCGTCGAGGCTTGTGATAAAAAATGCACGCGAACGCGTTTATTCTTTCACATGAAAAGTCCTTAAGCTTAAATCGAACTTGTCAGTGAGATTGTACGAAAATTAATAAATTGTCACTGCAAAACCTCATCGATTAGTTAGACTCGAGCCTAAAACGTTCCCTTGCTAGGACGCGTTATTTTATTTATCCAGGTAACGCGAATACAACGAATTTCCAGATACACAGGTGTGAGCATCCGTGATCATTAACATGTATCTTCTGTCTCCGCGAGATAGAAAGAGAGGCAAATGAAAGTTAAATTACACTTGTGGTGTTTTTGTTTTGAAAAATGTGGTTGCAGATTCGTGTAGCAGATATTGCTGTCGAAACAAATATGACTACGAGTACGAGAATGAAGTCTGCATTTACTGCGATCATCGTAATCGGCAATTTTCGAGATTCTGTCGGCAAGAACCATGGTTAGAAATTGCTCGAGCCGATGTTATCGCGTTACGCATGAAACCAACGATAGTTGACTACGTTCCAATTTTACAATCCAAGATTAGCTCCATGCTTGACGTGGAATGTAAATTTTTCGAAAACATTTCTTGTTCGATTCATCGCGAGGAGAAAGAACGCCTGGAAGAGCCATCTAACGGATCGGGGAGAAGAGGTAACTGTAAAGTAATAAACAATGAAGATTTAGACCCTCTCAAGGAGAAAATCGATAAAGAAAATAGAAAAATGCAAGATCACATCTCGAGTGACCGAGGTATAACCCAAACCATTAACTTATTGGACGAGAAAGTTACTGAAGAGGATAGAATACAAGATTACAATTCGACTGGTGCTAATTTAGAGGAACAGATCCTGGAATTAATGAAGATCGATTTGAACATTTCTACGTTGAAAGCAAATTCCACTCCTCTTTCTTCTCGTTTCAATTTTGAAGTCTCGACCAAATACAACTTACATTCCACCGACATGAGTATATTGTATAGTTTGACGCCACTTATAGATTCCGAGTATCCAGAAAATGTCGAGGAGGCCACGATAGCAGAATCGCAATCGCCATTGCCAACAAATGAATGCAATAATAACGTAGATCACACGCTACAATCAAACGAAAAAGAAATCTTTGAGCACAAACAGCAACAATTAAAAGAGAAGGAACGCGTGTTCGAAGAAGCTTTTGACGATTGCATCTGGCTGGACGATTCCTTCAGCAACAACGATACATACAACATTCCGAACAGTCTTTCGTCCGACGACGAAATTCCCGAAATTGCTTCGACCGAACGATCAAGTGAAATGAACTTGGAAACTGACACCCTTTTGGAGATGCTCAAGATAAACGGTGAAAATTTTCGAAGCAACATCAGCGACAGCGCGAACGAGATCATCGCCCAACTGGACGCGAACGATACTTATACGAGTATCAATTGCCTGGTTGCTGAGATTTTTGAAAGAGTCTGCACTCTTTGTAGCGTGCACTTGATTAGCCAACATAATACTTACAGATCCTCTTCGATGTCATCCTCGCCCACACGCTCACTGTCGTCAACGTTATTATCAATTTTTAAAGACGAAGAGTATCAGTCAAAGGAATGCTCAAGGGCTCAGAAATCTTCGTTGATCGAGGACCAAGATGGAAGCTTACCTGTCTTTGTTGTACGCGAAATCGTTCACCACGTAGTCGATCTAAACGACGAATCTGAACGCAAACGTTCAAACATCACCGACACGACGAATTGTTCCTTCAAGAAAGCTAAAGACACTGCAAACGTAGAACTTAAGGAAGCGCGAAATGCCATCAGCGAAGAGATGGAATTCTTTTACTTAGAGCAACAGATTAATAATTTAACTACTAGTACTGACCAGAGGAAAGATGAAATAATTTCTTCTTCGATAAATTTGAGCAATATAGGTATAGAAAACGAATCATCTGTAACTTTGGGACAATGTGAAACAACAGAAACGGATGCTGTCTTCGAATTTTGCACGATAGCGAAAAGAAACTCTAAGGACGTCGACGATAAAACGTTTGAATTAAATTTTCGAGTCGAGTCGAATTGCGACGCTGCGACCAATGTTGATAATGAAGGACTAAATGAAATCAATGACTCTCCTCTAAACAGTTCCTATATAAAATTATTATTATCGAGGTCTTCTTCAAATTCTGAAAATGATAAAGACGTAGAAGGTGATTGTTTGGATAATTCACTCAAAAGTAGCGATATAGAAACCGAATTTTTAAAAGTCGATAAATTCTGCAATCACATGGAGACTTCCAAGCCTTCCGAGTTATGCTCTGAGTGCATCTACTGTGCAGTTAACGACAATCAAACACGTTCTCTGCCTCCCATAGACGAAGAAAGCGAAGAGACGAGTGGAAATTTACTGGACCAATTGTTAAACACTAACCTAACCAATGGGGTAGTTCAACAGGAAAAAGAAAATGATTTCAATGATACTTTCAAGTGTCTTGACGACATCGAAAGCGACGAGGAATTCTTCGAATGCAATTCGGGAAGTTCGAAGAACAGGAGGTTGTCCAAGTCAACTCCACTGAACAGCCCAAGATCTTTTCATTCGAGCGCGACCATTAGCTTAAACGAAGACGCGTGCTATCTTCCTTTGGAACTCGCTTAATCCTTTGATTAAAAAACGTAGCTGTACTCGTTAGCTTGCTTGCAAATCGTACAATGATGTACCTTTTTTATGTTAAGTAATGATAATTATTTCTCGCGTTTTTCTAGTCTATGGGCACGTTCCTGCATATATTTATCATTTCATATACATGTCTATACATGAATTTAAGGCTATATGCATTGTGGCATGTGATGTAAGAGGTATTCTATCCGTATTCTTTGTTATGATTCTCACAGCTACACGAGTATGTCTATTTTAATATACGTACAAAATCATAGATTCTAACATACATTTTTTTTTTTTTTTCGTTCACTTTGATTTTCAACTCAACGTACTCTAGCGTACTCGCCGATGTGACAAACTCTGTCACGTAATCATAAAACAATATTTACATAACATTATTGCAACGGCAATGTGATAAACAATTGCGAGCATGCTTGTTCTTTAAATTAATCACTTGCATTGCCATTTTGTCTTGTTCGTGTCTTACTCCCAGTGTTCCACGGTTATTTACTTCTTTATGTTCTACATTTATTTTTGTATTTCGTACCTGTATCGTACGCCGAGCGTACACTATGTCTACGAAATAAATGTTCTCACACAAAAAGCTTGGAAAAAAAAGAGAAAGGTTTAGAAATGGAACTTTTCTTATTGTCCGTTTTTTGATATTCATCTCAGACGGTTTTGTAACGTTGCTTCGAACGAATCTCGATCTTCTGCGCACTGACAATGAGACGACCGAAGCACCTTCGGATACTGCTTGTTTTCCCCTCCCTTTTCGATGCATCAAAACATTCGAAGAGGCGACCAGAATCGTGTTGATTTCCGTTTCTTGAGGTAAGCTTCTGCTTGACTTTGGTATCGGCGATTCGTTTACAATTTGTACATTAAACGTTTCCGTTAAACCACGGTACACTTGAAAAGCTTTTATGGGTACAGCTTGTGTGACATTTTACTATCATGCTGATCCTTATAACGGTATATAATGTAATACTCTGCGCTTTATGTTTCAGGAGAAAATACCGTAAATGGCGATCACTCGGATGCACACCACAGTACATTTTCTCAAAGTAGCAAAGAGGTTTGTTCCTTGTACTTGTTTAACATACAGTATTGTCCTCGAGCTTTGTCACAAACCAGTTATGCTCAATATCTTTCCTATTGTTTCAAAGACAGTTTTTCCTGGTATGTATACACAGTATCCATTAACTTTTATTTACGGTAAAATAGACATTACTAGATTCATTTAATAAGGAAAAAATATTCCAAGAAGGTAACTACTTTTTGTGGAAGATTATTTTGAAAAATTAATTGTACCGTTCGTGTATCTCTAATTTAATGATATTTAAAGAAAGAGGTAAAGTAACGAGGATTGGAAGCTCGAGGACGCCTAAAATATGTGTGAAGGGAATAACGAAACACTGTCGATACCAACGACCGCCATCTCGCAAAACGAATTTGCACTTTAATTCTGAATTATTTTTCAATCCATTCTGCATTAATCTCTTCCATTCGCACCGTGTAATTGCAGCTCGATTGGACATGAATCTGAGAAAAATTCTCGCCTCAAGTAAATCAGACTATTTACGCGTCTCATCATTCATTGTTGAATAAGTTTCTTTTTTTAGAATCATCCAGTACTTTCATTAACTATTATGTAATGCTACAAAGAAGGTAGTTTGCCGATAGTGTTCGCTTGCATGAATCTGAACAGCCGTTTTTCTCTGGATACTGTATATTGTGCAAAACATTGAAGCTTGTGGGTGGTGGGATGTGAGATTGGTTAATATACTCGTGTATGACTGGGAAGAGGAGGGCGTGAAAGAGTGGAATGCATTTTTTTTATCTATATCTATGTTAGCAAAAGTTGGCTGCTTGCATGTGCATGCAAGACGGTTTATGGTTACGGTTGGGACCTTCCGTGTTAAGGGTTCCGTGTCGCAGGATGTGAGCGTTAGCGAGGAATCGCCAAAGAAGGAAAAGAAGAAGAAGAAAGGCCTTAGGACACCGTCATTCCTAAAGAAGAAGAAGGAAAAGAAGAAGCCAATCGAGGCGTAGGTAGTCCTAACTTTGGTACGTATTTGTACACATCTCAAAATTGGGATTTATTTATTCTTTGTTCATTGATTGGTCTCCTTGTTGCACCCCCCTTCATCGATTATTGTCTTTTTCTGTAATCTAATAAACCTTAT